GATCTCCAACGGCCGGCGCCAAAACCTCGACGAGTATATCAAGAAACTTCTCGCGATGCCACCACACATCTCCCGCTGCCAGCTCGTGCGACAGCTTTTCGCCCCACGTGCCGGCGATTTCGAAATGGACCCAACCATGATGACAGACGAATACCGTCTCTCCTCCGGCTCGCAGCCGTCATCCGGCCATGATCCATCCCCCAGTGCATCCCGCCAATCTTCCCAGGGTCAGATGAACAACTACCCCAGCCACCAACGAAGCCAAGGGTCCGTCTCGCAATCCAGCGTCTCGCGCATCGACCCGCAGCAAATGATGATCCGCCAAGGCAGCGCCCTGACGCAGGCATCCGTCTCATCCACCTCCAACGCCAACGCCATCCGGATCAAGGTGTTTTTCCAAGACGATATCATCGTCGTGCGCGTCCCTGCCGATATCATGCTGGAGCAGTTGAGAGACAAGATACGGGATCGGCTCAAGGTCGAGGAGGATATTCTGCTGCGGTATAAAGACGAGCCGTCGCGCGGGTTTGTGGATTTGATGAGCGATGCGGATTTGGAGGTGGCGATTCAACGGAACACGAAGCTCATGGTGTATGTTGGGCTGGCGTGATTTTACTGCCAACGGCTTCTTGTCGTTGTGTTTTGTCTCCCTCTCTCTCCCTTTTCTCTTTCTGCGCCCTGCGTCTGCATCGATACGCAAAATTCCCTCGCCCTCCCGATAATTACTCTTTCTTCCCTTTTCGATACCAGTTTCTCTTCTCTTTACGTCTCCTTGATTTCGCACGAACCCATTCTAAGGTTCTTTTTCTTTTGACTTTTATATCCTTTGATTTCCTTGGTTATCCAAAATCTATTCCCCTATTTTTCTTCTCGTCCCCTTTTCAACAAATTCTTGTAGCTTTTTTTTTTCCCCTTCTTCGATTCGATGTCCTGTGTCCCTCTCATCGCCTACCGTTCGCTCCCCCTTTGCACCTTGTGCCTAAAATGAAAACCAAGGGAGAGAAGGGAAGGAAGGAAGGGAGAGTTACATGGGTGTATGGGGGATTCCGAATCTTGGACGGTGGCGGCGGTGGTGGTATATGATGAATGAGCAATGATGAATGTAAAGACCGTGAAATGCCCAATGCAAGTGAGATGAGTATCATTGATGTGTTTGCTGTGGCGTGGTTATATATTATGGAATACCACCATTTTACTTCAGCTCTAGCTGGTTGCTTGTGCTTTTATCTTCTTCCGTTACTCCGTATCTATTCTACCCAGCTCCGAAGACCGCTAAGCTCATCTCCTAAAAAAGAAAAAGGAAAATTTTTACCGATGATCAAATAGAAAAAGACCAAAAAGAAAAGCCCGATGCGGGGCTCGAACCCGCAGCCTTGAGATTAAGAGTCTCACGCTCTACCGATTGAGCTAACCAGGCTGGCTGTTATTGGGTCTGATCTGTTTCTTTGGTTCTATAAAGGGCAGTTACCCTGGTTTTTATGCGCTCATAGAAGCGCGAATGTGCGTGTATTATGTAATACATTATTAGCGCACCTCGGCAATAGTACCGCGCTAGCTGCATTGATACTAGTGTCTTTCCGCTTTCCGATGGCAAAACTCGGTCACCGCCCGAAGAATTGGCGCGCTCGTAATCGCCGTCCCTTTTTCGTCACTTCTAAGTGTTAACTAACAGCAAGGTTTCTGCATGTTTGTTATTATCATCTGATGTGAAGCGTATATCATTTCTCCTTTGTTCGCATCCTAGAAAGCGTTGGCTTCATTTGTTTTATTCCCTAACTACCCGCTTTGCATAACCCGGATCCGTGATCGCGAACCCGCCCACTCCGGAATACTCCGCAGTGGGACAACGTCGAAATAGAGAGAGCGATCTCATCGCATACGGCGATTGCAGATTTATTAAATTTAGACAATATCATTTATGTTATATATACTGGCGCTTGGGACGCTGGAACGAACGCCGCATATTTCCCCAAGATTCTGAGGAGTAAAGTGCCGCGCGGGATTAGAGTAGGAAACCAGATAATCGGCGAACGAATGATGCGAACTGCCATACGCCCATGTCGCAAGATCTTCGCTGACACTTCGCTGCCCGCACCGTGCCGCGCCCGATCATTCTCTGCTGGGGCGAGGGGAGTGTCTTCGAGCCGCCCAGGCCGATCCGCTCGTGGGACGCAATGCGATAATGGCATTAAATTTGCGTACTCGGGAAGGGGGAGGAAGGTGGATATGAATGGCCGGAGGTGTATAGGTGAAGCGAGGAGGATGGCGAGTACCAGCACTGCTATTGGAATTCAAGACAAATCTTGTGGGGGGTCACACGGTCCGATTGAAGAATACAATTTAAGAGTGCAGTCGGGACGACTGAGGGATGATGACCACCAGAGAGGTATGCTAAGATACCTGGTTCCTGTTGTGTGCGGTTGCCTTTGGAGAACTTTCTGTTGACTGGAAACCCTTGTTTGGTTTTGCAATTCGCAGCAATCATTGAACGTCTGCAAGACCTTCACCAAGTTCTTAAGGGTTATGACCCTCCTACCGTCGTCCACCCTTCGCTCGCGGACCTAAATGCTCCGCGCAAATCTTCCTTCTTCGATACTCTATTTGGTAGGGGATCGAAGTCATCCGGGATCACCACCCGGCTACCTGAAAACCTACCCAAGGGTTTATATATGCACGGCGATGTTGGGTGCGGAAAGACCATGTTGATGGACCTGTTTTATGATACCCTGCCGGCAAATATCGGCTCCAAGACGCGCATACACTTTCACAACTTTATGCAGGATGTTCATAGGCGACTGCATGTCGTGAAGATGAAGCATGGCACCGATTTTGATGGTGTCCCCTTCGTGGCGGCTCAGATTGCGGAGCAGTCGAGTGTGCTTTGCTTTGATGAGTTTCAATGCACAGATGTCGCCGACGCGATGATCCTGAGAAGGTAAGCACTTTTCGCCGTTGGTAGATGTATCCATTGAGACGACAACGCTCACCTATGAAATAGGCTACTCGAATCCTTGATGTCTCATGGCGTCGTCCTTGTAACGACCTCCAATCGTCACCCGGATGAATTGTATAAAAATGGAATCCAACGCCAGTCATTCATTCCATGCATTCAACTCCTGAAAAACACCTTAACCGTCCTAAATCTCAATTCTACCACTGATTACCGCAAAATCCCCCGACCGCCGTCTGGCGTTTACCACCAGCCTCTGGGATTGCAGGCCGATCACCACGCAGACAAGTGGTTCGAGTACTTAGGCGACTTCAAAAACGATCCACCTCACCGCGCCGTCCATCAAGTCTGGGGCCGCGATGTCGTTGTCCCAGAAGCTTCAGGGGCAGCGGCAAGGTTTACCTTTGACGAACTAATCGGTAAAGCAACCAGTGCGGCAGATTACCTTGAACTGATGAGGAGTTACAACGCCTTTATCATTACAAACGTGCCGGGCATGACGCTACATCAGCGCGATTTGGCGAGGCGATTTATTACCTTTATCGATGCTGTTTATGAAAGTAGAGTATGGGATCTTCCGATTCCCCAAGCGCCGAGAAAATCGTGCTAATATTTCCCCCTCAGGCCAAACTTGTTCTCACGACCGCCGTTCCTCTCTCGAACCTCTTCCTTTCCCCCGCCGAAATCAGGGAATCCATCTCCCACACCCCCAAATCCTCAGCAGCCAACTCAAAACCTATCTCTTCCGCCTCCTCTTCCTCCAACTCGTCTTCCACAGAATCCGAAGAAGACATGGACAACGCCATGCGCCAACTAATGGACGATCTCGGTCTCTCCATGTCGGAATTGAAATCTACATCGATATTCAGCGGCGATGAAGAGCGGTTTGCCTTTGCCCGCGCGCTCTCGCGATTAGCAGAGATGGAGAGCAAGGAGTGGGTTGAGCGAGGGATGGGGATGGGGATGGATACAAGGGCGGGATTGGAAGAGAAGCAGGCGTGGGATAAGATGAGGAGTCGGTGGAGGGAGGATAGGATGTAGGGAGCTTTTCTTTATCAATGGATTACATTTGGGCTATGCATATTGGCATGTTGCACTGATATACCCCCGCTGTTTTGCGTGCATTCGCTCTTGTGATGTATTCTTATTGCACATCCCCTTCTTGAGCCTGTGGGATATCTACATTGGAAGCAGCGACTCCATGTTATACCTGGAGGCATAGTACCTTTAGTCGCGCTTTCCAAATTCGGAAAGCACCTTCCTATTTCTGAAATAGGAAGGCATGGGTATATCCAGTCACACCTTCTGTTCTAAATATCATGCCAGTCGCGCCTTCCCTAATTCAAACATACCTTCCTATTTATGATTTAGGAAAGCACTTGGTTGAGCCTTCCATACTAAAATGGTACCGGTTGCGCTTTCCCTGTGTGAAGCGCGCCTTCCTGTTTGATGATATATACCAGCTGCGCTTTCCCCGAATAGACACGCTTTTAGGTATGTTTTGAGGCGAAGGTCAGCAGCCAAGTGATTATTCCATATCAAAATATTTAAAATTAGACATAGTTACATAGAATACATTCAACAGCAATTAATAGGTTTTGTCCTCTTAACTCCAGATGAATAGAAAATCTTTCCTACCTACCTGCCCATCCAACCAATCAATCATAACTCGTACAATCACATTAATAGCAAAATCAGCCTCCCAAATCCCAACCGAAATAAGACCAAGGACATATACACACACTCATTTCTTCCAGAATGCTATCCTGTCCGCTTTCCTCTTTATATTCCACCCCGTCTCACTAAACCAATCTCTCACCTTCTCACCCATATTCCTATGAGCGCCAAAGCCCTTACTACTCAGGACCGCGGCGCTACCAACACTCGATGACGAGTTCGATCCCGCAGTAAGCTTCAACCTCCCCTCCGCGATCTTATGCACCACATTCAACACCGCAAAGGCCGTAGAGCCCAGGGCACGGAAAACCGCCAGGCCTGCAACGGCCCATAACACAAAAGCTAGATACCCATTGCTACCGACCTGATGCTGGCTGTAGGACTCGCTCACCGCCATGGCGAGAGTAGCATTGGCGATGACCCATATCGAGACCATGTACGTACGCACCGCGCGATAGTAGTCTTCTTGCATCTGGGCTTCAGAGACTTCGGGAGCTTTGACTTCGAGCCGATCTCGCAGGTTGCGAAGAGCCTCATCATACCCGCTGTCGATGTCAAGTTGTTCTGAGGGCATTTCAAGTTCGACGGTGGAAGGGTCAGTTGTTCGCGCGATGCCGAGATCGGTGTGGATGACGTTGTCGCCCTTCGTGCCCCAGGTGACGTCGTGGGTGTTACAGAAAGCATAGACTTGGAGAGTGCAGAGGTAGCTGGGGAGAAGGGCGAAGTATTGAAGGGAAGATGTAAACATGTGCCACGGGTCGAGGTACATGAAGGACATGAAGAAGTAGAGACCAACTGTCGAGAGTGTCGAGACGATGATATTGGTGAAAACGTTGCTGCCCAGATTCTGGTCCTTTTTCTTCGGATCGTTCAGCTGCTTGAGTTGAATGACTACCATGTACAGGGCAGCGAATGTCGTATAGGCCATGATAATTCCATACACGATCATACTTGACATAAACATCTTTTTGGCGCTGTTGGTAATGATTAGTTGGGTCCTTGCAACAGGAGGAGCTCAAAAGGTGCTTACCCTTGAGGTCGATTGCCCATAGATAGGATGAATTGTAAGCAAATAAGCAAAACACAGGCATATCTTAATATCACGAAGATAATTTTCCCAATATTATGCCCAAAGGGGTCAATATCCTTGGATGCCAGAGTTCCGGCAATAAAATAGAACGTGATATAAAAATTGGCCTTTGCATCCGGATATCAGTTTATATCTAACATTAAAGGGAACCGAGCGGGTCTTACCAAAGAAAAGAATGTGAAAATTAAACTGACGAACTGGTATATGAACTCGATATGAAGCAGGATCTTTCGCATAACCGAATGATCCGTCTTCCATATCTGGCGGAAATGAGTGAGAGAATATACAGCAGCAAAGAAAGCGCCGTTGAGCCATCTTCGTCGTTGGGAGATGAATTCAGGAACGGCATCTAGTGACAATGTCAGCCCTCAAGAACGATTGGGATATTTCAGTGAATGACCTACCCGGAACGTCAGTCTCCCCAACAGCGTTTTTCACAAACTTCAAAATCCACTGATCTTCCCTTTTAGCAACAAGCTCCCAGCACAAAATGCGATCTTCTGCCAAGTACATATTTGCTGTGAAAACATCGGCATTTTTCCCATGCAACATTTCTCCCTTAAAGTACTGGCTGAGAGGCCCATGGCCAGTGCTATCATTCTGTAACGCATGGTATCGATACGCACTCAATGCACCTGGCAGCACAGTAATATACCCAAAAACGGATTCGAGCGGTTTATCCAAGATATTGGACATCTTATACTCGAAATTCTGAGACGCGACCAAAGGATTGAATAAGCCAAGCCATCCTTTCCCCTTACCAGCTTTGATTTCACCTGCGGCCCCGGCAACATTCGAGTCTTGATCGAACGCTTTCCAGAGATGATATAGAGCTGTGGGAGCTGGTTTTGTACCGACATCGAGTAAGATACAAACATTGGGGGTCAGAGCACGACCGAACGCGTTGAAGAACCATCGATGGGAATTGAGCTTTTTCTGGTTACGCTCCTTCAGGCAGAAGATAACCTGGCATGGGACGATGCCTTTTTCTGCACCCTTAAATTTCATATCAGAGTCGAGTGAGACTTGGGTCGTATACTCGTACACGTGGGCGGTAACCTCCTTCTGGTTGACGACGTTCGTTGCAAAACCGTCTTGATAAACACCCATCGCTGCAAGGGCGTTGAGAGTTCGTGGATGCACCTTTTGTCTGCCGTCTGCAATGATGCACACAACAATCTTCTTCCAGCCATCCTTTCCCCATGTTCGAGATTTCGTTCGGGAGCAAAAATGAGAGATATTTCTCATGACACCATGCATTGTCCGAGTGAAATTGATTTCATCTTCGTTGTACATAGTGATGCAAACAAACAATTCGGTTTCTCGCATCGTGGTACCGATGTTTTGCCGTAACTTGTACCCTCGTGGCACGAAATCATCCGGGTCGCATGTCACAGCAGTGTATCGCATATGTGTAAATTCGCGATCATCTCGGCGAGGAAGGAAACTATGCAGAATTGTTGGAATTTTGCATTCCAACACGAGTTCACCGTTGATCAATTTGACCTCCTTCTTGGTCATCTGGGCTTGCCTGACGCCTCTACGATCTTGACGACCGGTAGGAGCTGGTCCATAATGCAAGTTTGGATCAGTGTTGGTCTCTGACCAGTCATCATCAAGATCCACTTTGCTCATGGTATCCTTTTCGTCTGTAACCATGGTTGATTCGGTAAGGTAGGAGCTGTAGGACCTCATACTAGCCCGGGACCCTGGTTTTGAATCGATCGTCCTCCCATTTCCTCCAAAAGGATCATCGACCTCGCTTCCGATATCAATACTCGTTTCACCAGCTGACGGCGCAGAAAAAAGCGGTGCCGGCGGAAGTGGTCGACGTGGGCTACCACCATATCTCGAGCTCGGGGTGCCTGGTCGTGGGCTACCATTAATTTCTGCGGGTTCGTAATTAGTGATAGAAGGAGGTCGCCTCTCCCGGTCGGTAGCGCCAGATGGCGTCCAAGGTCGAGTTGGCGAACCTGGTCGGTCCCCTGAACTGCTTGGAGGCGGCAAACTAGGCGCATTGCTTAAACTTGATGGTGGTCGAGACGGCGCGAAAGATGTTGTCGAGTGATTATGCTGGTGTAGTGGTTGGTATCGCGACGACCCGGGCGGTGGATACTGAGCTTCTATCATACAATTGGTTAGCTGGTTGTTCAAATTGTGCCTCTGGTATAATTGAAAGTCCAGTGCAGTCCCCTCTTGAAAGTAGCTTGCTACTACATATCGAATCCAAATGGGACTCCGGTTTGGGCTTCACTGGCGGCTTGGGTGTAGCTAGCCGGAGAGGAGGGGGGATCATTAGCGGGTCAACGACCATCCTAAGGGTAGGAGCAGGTTTTGGAACCGCAAAAGACACCGATTTTTGGGGTTTGATTTCCTTATCCTTGGTAGCCTTGTTTCCATTTTGAATCAGGGACATCGTTCGTACTGTATTGACGGGGCATTGTAGTAGAGTCGAGGGCATCTCAGCCGGGGGACAGTATATAGGTAAACTGGAATTCCTTGGAGCATATCCTGGGGCCTCGGCATCCTTATTTTGTTGCGATTCGGAGGGAACTGAACTTGGAATAGAAGATTTGACACTGGGGTTTACATACAATCGGCGATGCGACATCCCATTATGCGAGCCTCTAAAATGCGCGCCACCCACATCTGCCTCTGCCGAGTATCTATCAACATTCTCATCAACGTAGCTGCCTTCGCTGGGTGATAAAAGTCTCATCGTCGATCCATCTTGTCGACCGTGCTCGGAAATGGGAGCTGTCACGTCATCATTCGTGTCGTAGGTTAGGACGCTATCGTTATAATATGACGGCGGTTCTTCGTTATACGAAGGTGGTGCCGGATTACCATTGCCGCCATTTAGGTTGTGGGCCATGGTATGCACTCGTGCTTTTGGGCGATGAATTCTTGTTATCGATGTCGGACTGATTGCGCTGCGGAAATAGAACTAGAGCACCAGTAAGACGTCACTACACTTTTGCCCTCGGGGCAGAAAGCTGCCCGTTTAAACGTAGGACCCTCTCAGTATAAATATAGATGACCTTGATTCTCCGATGCGGTATTGCCTATGTACGACGGAACGGTCCCTAAAGGGCTTTGAAACACCACCAACCCCGCTGAAGATTGCTTCCGGGCGACAGTGGTTTACCGGTCAGAGAGATATCAACAATGCGCGCGGTCAATTCTAACGGAAATAGATACAGTCAGTGCGACAGCAAAGCTAATATTGAGAGGGGTTAGCTCGCGTACCTTTCCTGTAAACATTCGACTTTACGTCAATCTTGGGGTGGAAAGATGCGGGATAGGCTCAAAAACGAAAGGAGGGGAAAAGACAGCGAAAAGCGACCTTCCACGTTTAATATTTAATGCCAGTAAATAAGCGATAAATATCATTCCTCGCAGTACAGCTCCTTCGTGCGAGGAGTCAAGGTCGCCTTGACGCGCAACGAGAGAAGAGATGTAGTGAGTTTCACGTGCGTGTGTTTGTAAACGGAGTTGCCCTGACAACCAAAGTGGGAACTTCCGATAAGATAAGGGGGCTTCCCCGCATGTTTCCACTGCGCATATAGTCTGGGCCATAACTAGGTAACAACTAACAAGTGAATGAAAGAAGAATAAGAATGTCAAAGGAGACAAAGAAATTGTTCTGCAATTGAGTCCATAAAGGTAGCGACGGCTGGAGGCCTCAATCGGCACATCCGAGGTGTGCGCCGCGTCAACATCACAGCCCTCGGTCAAACTAGATACGGTCATAGTCCTTGTCCCAAGTAAATATGGCAGGCAGCAGCTCTTCCACAGGCACCATTAGTGCTCCCTCTTTTCCCACAACGACCACCTTGATTCCAGGATGCAAATCGGTGAGGACCTGCCGGCATCTTCCGCATGGGCTCAAGATACCTCTATTCTGATTGGCAACGGCCACGATGTGAGTCAGCTTCTGCGCCCCTGCTGCTGCTGCAACACCCAAAGTGACAAGCTCCGCGCATGGTCCGCCGGTAAAATGATAGACGTTAACGCCCGAGAAGACGCGGCCGTCGTCGGAGATGGCGGTGCTGGCCACACTGTAGAAGTCGGAAACGGGAATGTTGTTGATAACTGTGGTAGCAGTATCAATGAGATTTTGCCCGGTGGCAGAGAGGGGTTCGAAAGGCATTTTGGGTGGTTTTGACAACTGATGCCGTTAGTAATGTTATTAACGGGCTCGGTTCGCTCAACTTTGCAACGATTTGAACTTGGGGCTCACCTCGAGCCTAGACAAACGAGTATCGAGTAACTGCAATGAAGTACGGAGGAAGCCGTTAGAAACGCCCAATTGCTAGTGAGAACAACGATTTTATAGTCGACGTCGCCAGTTTCGGATACTGGCTTGCAACGAGCTCCTTCAACAGGTCAAAGTTTGGGGAGCAGTGACCGCTTGGTCATTTTGAGGGGCATATCCTCGTATTTTGCCCACAGCTCCCATAGTCAAGCAAAGATGTTACAGTGGACGCAAATGAGATTGGCTTAAAGAAGGAACCCATTTAACTCCATCAGGACTCCGACACGCACTAAGATATGATTTCCGCAGATGACTAATCACATTTGTTACTTCATCCAGGAAGTTCCGACGGGGAGTGCTCTTTCGGCATCACATTCTGCTTTTGCTCTTCGATATGCATTCCCGAGACGCCCTTTGCCATTCCGGTGAATGGACACGTAGCAGTAGCCGATGAAGCTGCCTCTCCATCCGTCTCACTCTCCGATCCTTCGCCGACAATCATTTTCTTTCCATGCAAGTAGCCCTCCCGTTCCACCGCGACCGCTTCCATATCATCCGCAAATTCGTCGCCATCACGGACATACCATTTCGCAAAGAGGTCGTTTTGCACCCAAATCACTTTGCCAATGGCGGTGACGAGGGCGATTTTGCGGGACAACGGGAGTCGCGGGTGCGAGAGGAGTGCTTCTGTGAGAACGTTCTGAATGAACCCCAGATTCGCGCCAATATGGACAAATTCGATATGTAATGGGTGCTCGCGACCGCGACCGACGTGCATCATGCTGTCGTAGTAAAAGTCCAGTCAGCTGTGGAATTCCTTCCGGCATGAATCATGCAACCCGAATCCTACTCACCCAACTTTATCTAGATATTCCCAAAATTCCATCTTACTCGGGTCTGAACATAACCTGTTCAAATAGCCTCTTAAAAACATCTTTCGATGCAGGATCTGCGGGCTATTTTCATCGGGCTGTTCGTCGAGGGAACCCTCGAAACTTGTACTCCGCGTCTGGAATGCGCGTGCTGTGATATCATATTGCAACAACTTTTTATAAACGATATTCACGACGGCGGGAATGAGTGTTTTGATATATTTGGAGCCGGTGATCAGAGCTTCGATGTCATCTAGTGCACAGGGCGAGTGTCAGCATCGAACAGTGGTGCTTGTAGACATTGGCGCGGCTTGATATCGTCAAGAAACGTACTTGAATTGAAATCAAGGAAGTTATGGAGATACCGTATTCTCGCTTCCAGATTTGTATACAATTCTTTGCGTTCGATATGTTGTACCCGTCTGGGCTCGTTCTTCACGGCCATGGCTATAGTGGCGTTGGTCAAAGAGGAGTTTCCCTTAGGCGAAAGTTGTGATCAAGTAGCAATCTCAGATTGCAATTCAAAAGATAACAAGTAGCCAATATATTGCACCCTAATGGCTCATTATATACATTTCGTCACTGAACCTCAGTCAGAAACGCAACTCCTTTTTCTCCCGAATCTGCCTCATGAACTAGCCATCACGGGCAATCAAGCGTGGGTATCAAACTCCGACTGGCTCACCCGTAGCTCATTTCAGCAGATTGCGCCAAACAGAAATTTCCTTGCTTGGATGAAGGGCTGCGCTCCCGGAGGCGATATTCAAAGGCAAGTGGCCTGATGTTGTTCGGCGCTTTGAAACTGCAATGCCGTCACTGGTCAATTGGGATGTATTTAGTTAGTCAGCAGCCGCGAGACGGGGAGGCTTGGCGGTACCGTCCCTGTTGATTGGTTCCTGGAAATCCGGTCCGGCCCGAACTGCCCTTCGGATGATCTGATCTTCAACCATAGTTCTTGAGGCCGACGGAGCAAGTATTGGTGGCAAAACGACTCCAAAGCAATGAGGCCTTGTCTGTATACGCGGATGTGGTAGAATATGGGATTATCTCTTTAAAAGAATTGCAGAACATTGAGCATGGAGCCGAGGAACTGGACTAAATACCGAATACTAATTGACCATAGAATTATCAAACTGTAGAACGACTGAGCACGAAATGCCATATTAATGTGCCCAAAATTAGAGCGAAACGTAACACGAAATAATCCACGCACTAAGCGCGTTCCTACATATTTTGGCGAGAAACAGATATGTAAACCCAAGCGGGAAGTTCAAGCTCACCATCAGAGTGTTCAGTAATTGGAAAACGGGGGGAGGTGGAAAACAACTTAACCCACCATTAGGAGATACTTGCAAGAATCGGCCTGTTGGGCGATCGAACACAATTTCTGTCAGGATCACCTAGTAAGACAGCCCTCGAGCTTTCCTTCACTCATTACCGAGCAAAGGCTGGCGCTCACGGTCACCAGCCTCAGGCTCCGTCAAACTCCGGAAGAAGAAGTCTCGCTTATGATACCTGGCGGTTGAACTGTAGAGTGACGAAACCAGGAAAAGGCCAAAGATCACAAACGCGAAGATCCACTGCAAGGAAATAATCTTCAGGGAGAACTGCTTCAGGGCCAGTGCTGTGGAAAATTCGGGTTAGCCGTGCCAAATCCAGCGAAGACGCGAGAATGTGGAGGTTGAAGGGTGCTTACACAAAGTTAAAAGGCTGAACGAATAGCCGAGAGCTTGGTCGCTCCGGTGTGCCACATGGGCTTGTCCAAAGAGGAACATGACCCAGATAAACACATTGGCAACAATCCTCTTTGGGAGGCTATACCCACCAACAGCTACGGCACCATTCCAGAAGAGGGTTGTAATAGACCAAGCGTAGGGCCCGGCAACTGCTGGCAGATGGATAAGTTGGGGAAGACCCGGATATCTCCAGTATAGCATGCCCTGGTTGATGAGCGAGGCAATGTCGAAGATTTCAGCCCCCCAGAAGTGGGAGCGAACCCAGAGGAGGACAAAAGATAGTATGAAGAGATTGTTTAGGATGTAGTATGGCGCCACGTTGGCAGCCGCCGTAAGCCTCTCTGCACTTGAAGACCATAATTGGCCCATATATCCAAGCTGAGAGAGCAGGAGAATCACCCTGACGGGCAAAGTTAGCTCAAGGGGATTGAAAAAGAGAACGACATTCTCCCCCGCATGGCAGTTACTTTATGGGAAACATCCTCCATACTATAAGAAAGCAAGAATTGTTAATAAACATCTCGCATCTTACCAGTAGATGGTAGTAATGGTTTTGGTCTGGGAAAAAGGCGTTGGGTTAATCTCTGCTTGCTTCCCGATGGTGGAGCCATGGTGGTCATCGTCAGGACGACGGACAGAGTAGTAGATGCCGAAGACGACCACCAAGAGCCAAGACAGAGGTGTCAATGCCCGATACGCGTTTATTGCCTTGGGACCATGAGAAGTTCGTCTGGCAAACGGGTTTCCTAAATGGAACAAGAACAGATGGGATCATCGTCAGTGTCACAATCGACCAGGTCACTATCGTAAACCGCCTACAGGATAGGCAGTAAGGAAGGAGCAAAAAGGGCACTGACGCGAGCCTGTTGTATCTGCCATCACTGCCAGCCTGCGTGTTGATTACGATGTCAATATGCAGAAACAATCCGGTTCGGTACAAAAGCTCCGATGAGACCCTGTATAAAAAAAGCGCCGGTCACGGAAGGTGGCAGTGAGGATGGTCCGTGAGAACCAAAGCGAAAGATTGACAAAGTTCTTGCTGAAATTTGAATGGCAAGATATAAGACCAGGATCCAGCGACTCAAAAGAGAAGAGAGTGGGATGATGGGGAGAAGAGGTTCGAACCGCTGAGGCTGGCGGTTCCCCGCACTTCAGTTTGTTTCCAGTCACTGCCGCTAATAACAGTTTCCGCGAGCAGCAGAAGGCTTGTACGTCACCGTGCTGATGGTCGCATTTGCCTTGATTAAAATGGCGCTTGAGACGGGGTGATGGAGGGGAGCAACAACAGCAGTTGAGAACTTGAGATGGACAGAAGGGGTGGCTAAACCCTGTTCGAAGGGTCTCGTGGACAATCAGCAGTGCAGATCCCTGGGCACCACGGATTCCCCCGAATCACGTTTTCACCGCAGTCCGCGACATATGGCACCAGGGATGCCAGCCTGGACAAGATAAAATAATAATAGCACGCATTTTGCTGTGCTCGGGCAGAGGCCGGAACTATGAGAAACTGGGGGTTACATATGTGAACTTTGGAGAGATGAAAGTACCTCCACACTTTGATACTGTGGGGAGGAACTTGTCGCATGGGCCAATAAACAGCAGACAATTGAAATTGCGGGGGATCGTCTTGGCGCACCGGGAGTCTTGGCATTCTCTTCCGCTTCTCGGCGTATTTTGCCACTCTTGCTTCCGCTCGGATGGCACCTTGAAGAAAAGACAACAACAAACATGGCCTGTTCAACGGCAAATTGCCCCCTAGACGATGATGATTTTGTGCTGCTGTAGCGGCAGCTTGTGGGGTTTAAGCTTTGTGGGGCTGGTTGCAGCAGTGATCTCGCTCCTCATTCTTAGCGCGGGTAAGAGCGGTGCGCCAGGGCAGAGCAGGCATGGAAACCTGGGCTTTCTTCAGTTGTTCTGGAAAAAGAGAGACGCAGGGATTCGACAGTGTCTTGCGTTGGGCAACCAAAGCCAAATCTCCGCCTCGGCATACCGTGACCGACTTCTGACCGGATGAGCTGGGTTGCACTGCAACTTGCACCGTATGACGACTTGAGAGTAACCAGTTTCATTGGCTGACTCTTGAATGATGCGTTTTTTCAAGGTCTCTCAGCGCTCGACCTGGTGCTCTTCTGGAACTTGAAGAGGGATGGATCGGTTCCTGAGATCTGCAAGTTTTAGCGGCAGATCACAGGCAATCCACCCTCAACCACCATTCCTGGCACAATTTTAAATTATCTTGTTGATATCGTTATCGCAGAACCACAGAGATGCTCGACATCAAAAGCTTCAAGTCTAGATGCGCCTGGGCCTGCGCAATGCATGCGAGCAAAGGCAGTTTTTTGGAGGTTAACGCCCGTTTTTCCCCAGGATCCTGGGGAAGCGAGTTGGCGTACGGAGTAGAGGCTAGCAGACACGCCGAATCTAGCTTTCCGAGCCTTGACTGCTGATGAAACGTCTTCCTGGTCTCGGAAAGCATGTCGTCTCGGCTTCCACGCGGATCCTACCCCATATGGGACAACCAGGCAATGTCAGAAGTTTCAAGATTTTGTCAATTTGATAGGGTTGCGTTTCTGTCTCAAAACGCGAAAACACACAAGATCGCTCCCCCTCCTGGCGTGCGAGGTGCACAATCTGGGAAGCGGACAACTTGTTCCTTCATGCTTCGCTGTCAATTATGTTTGTCCGGGAACCAGAGAAAACTGAGAAGCCGAGTGCTTCGGCTTCCCCGTTCTCTCGAAAAATGAAAGTTAGGGGCCCACCCGCCAATCATAGGCATATTGAAGATCGGGCATATCCTTGTGAGAAACGCGGGCCCGTAGAATATCAACATCCTCTTTCGGCTTGAGACCCCATCTTGACAACAGTTCCCCGACCCAATTGGGTTTCGGCTACTTACAGAGATTGCGACCTTCCCCAGGATGTCGGCTTGGGACTGTACTTCGTTCAATTTCACCGGCAATCTTCCTTCATATCGGCTCGAGCATGTGGTGTAGTCAACATGATATCCCAAATAGCTCCACGCCGCAGTCACCCGCTTCTTTCCCTCGTTAGTTTCAAGCAGTGAGTATTTAATACTGCTGTGCGCCCTCATGTTTGAATCTTTTCGTCTCAGGTTCTCTCCTCGAAGCTGCTGCCCATCTCTCTTTCAGTTCTTTCTCGGATCCCCTAGACCCTAAGTCTCCAAACATACGACAATGAAGTTCGTTCCATTGTTGGCATTCGGTGCCACTGCCTTGGCAGCCTCGATTCCTCCCCAGCATGAGGGCAAGTTCTTGATTGAATTAGCTCCCGGTCAAACGAAATGGGTCACGGAGGACGAGAAGTATGCCTTGAAAGTTGTATGTTCTTCCCTCTCCCCCTGTTTTCCAGCGCTGGCTTGTCAGGTTCACTTTGGAGCGAGCATTTGCTAACTACATTCATTGTGTAGGAGGGCAAAGATTTCTTCGACATCACCCATGAGGTCGAAAATAACATTACACCAAGCAGCTTCAGCGTCCAGGCCGCTCCCAACTACCCAAAAGTGATGCAACAAGAGGACAAGGTTAAGGCGATGGTCGCCAATCTTTCCGCACAGAGAATTCAACGGGATCTCACCATGTTCTCTTCGTATCACAACCGATACTACACATCTCGAACTGGTGTGCAATCGGCAACCTGGATGATGGAGCAAGTTCAAGCGATTCTCCAATCATCTGGTGCCGCCCGAAACGGCGCCAAGGTCGAGAAATTCATGCACCGATTCGCACAATTCAGTATTATTGCCACCATCCCCGGCAAGTCTGCCAATACTGTTGTCGTGGGTGCCCACCAAGATAGCATCAACTTGAGGGATCGAAACGGACCCGCTCCCGGTGCCGATGACAACGGCAGTGGCTCTGTGACCATCTTGGAGGCCCTCCGTGGTGTGTTGCAGAACCAAGAGGTTGTGCAAGGAAATGCTCCCAACACCATGGAGTTCCACTGGTATGCTGGTGAAGAATTGGGTCTGCTCGGCTCTGCGGACATTTTCGCCCGCTACTCCCAGCAACGCCGCCAGATCAAGGCCATGTTGAACCAGGATATGACTGGCTATGTCAGACCAGGTGCTCGTGAGGAGATGGGTGTCATCACCGACAACGTCAACTCCCAATTGACCAACTTCGCCCGCTCCCTCGTTGGCAAAGTCAGTATTACCTCTCTTGGATATTGAACATAGAAGAAAGAAACATGGCTAACCACATCACCTTACAGTATACCCGCCTCCCAACTGTTAACACCCGCTGCGGCTATGCTTGCTCCGACCACGCCTCTGCCCACCGATATGGCTTCCCCGCTGCCATGATTGCTGAGGGTGCTATCTCCAACTTGCGCCCAGGAATCCACACCCCCAGCGACGTCCTCCGTGGCCTTAACTTCAACCACATGCTCGAACACGCCAAGCTCGTCGTCGGCTTCATGACCGAACTTGCTTTCCAGGAGAACTTGTAAATATGTAGCTCGCAGCTGTTATATAAACAACTCCACCACCCTTTACCATGATACCCCCTTTGTGAGGTCAAACGGAAGCAGATGCGGGAACAAGGCTGCTGGTATCAATAAATGATCCTGCGTGCCATTTCATCGCGCCCGAGACCTCTAAACTCCTGGAGAAGTTGCTTTTTTCTCCTTGCACCTGTGATGGCCTTTGCTTTTGCTGGGATATAGCTAGAGATGTGCCTGAAATGTAAATATGACCTAAGACAAACCCGTTCTCTTGATGATCAAAGTACTCCCATAGCGTTGACGTGTCCGACGCCTTGTAGCTGCTGTGAACGTGCTTGGCAAGGCTTGTGCGACCAGCATTCCGGTTTTCGTCTTTGATAAGATGTTGCAATGGTGCCCATTTGCTTTGCTCGTCGCCAGAGCCATTTTAAAGGAAAAAGGTATTTCCACCGTCCTGGGATCGATTTAGTTGAAGACGCACGGCAGGCCAGGTCCTTGGCAGCAATCGGTCTCGTGGTCTAGTGGTATGATTCTCGCTTTGGGCGCAACTCAAAGCTGCGAGAGGCCCCGCGTTCGAATCGCGGCGGGACCCCGGCTTTCTTTTTTTGTGCCTGTTTTCCGTTGCAGGCGTGTTAACTTTTTTTTTCGGCGCCGCGAAAATACATTGAAAGCCGGGAGAAATCCCCCTTCTTCAGCAATATAATGTTTCTTTGTGGCACCAAACTGGGCATTTGTGTGGGAGATCTACAGCAAGCGCCCCCTAGTTTCACCCCCTGTGCAAGGAGCGACATGATATATAGCTTGGCTGTGATGACGCGTGGGAGCAGCTTTCCATCCTTCAAACCCCAAACACCATGCACTCACACCATCCATGTCCTTAATATAACAAGGCCTAGCAAGCTGTACTGAACTCATCTAGTTATACCTTACTGGGCAAGTTGGAGCAAGCAGGAAACCCCCACTAGCCATGTCGCCGGCAGAGCACGCTGGATCGCCAGGGCGACAGCAGCAGCTCACAACAAACAATGGGCGTGACCAGCTGGCGAGCTCCTTCAACCAGCTCTCGCTCGCATCACCAGGTGCTCCGAATCGGTCTTCCCCCTCGCGAACGCCGTCCCAATCGTATCGTTCCCTTGATAGAATCCAACCACCGCGCTATGAATCGTCCTCGTATCGACCCCCCGTGCCTCGACGAACACCAAGCATAAACTCTCTGAGAGACGAGAGGCGGGCGTCGACTCCCTCTTTAAAGAAACGATTATCTACCGCTTCTCTACGCTCCGTTCAGAACTCAAACGGTGTTGGCTCTCCGCGCGCGAGCACCTCCAGGCGAGCTTCCTCCCAATTCCTCACCCCTTCGAGAACAATGATGCGACCCGGTTCGCCTTCGATGTCGGAATGTCCGTCGCCCCCTCCTCCCCTCACTGCCGCGTCAGTCGCTGCGGATCATTTCGCGAAAGAACTTGCGCTCCATCAGTCTACAAATCTACAGTCGAGAGCCGTCGTGGTACTCCAGGATTCGTGCTTCGGACATAGGTATTCACGCCCAAGGACTTCCAAGGTGGGATTGGAGTCTATAGTTGAGCGGCCAGAGCGGCTACACGCTGCAATTTTGGGGTTGGCAGCTGCATATGTTCGGATGGGGAAGCGATGGGGCCATCACCGGTTTGCGCCGCACCCTGATCTCGATTTAAGTCGGTTGCCAGTGCCGCCCTTTCAAATTCGCAAGACGACACGAACTATGCCGTTGAACTCTCCCGCAGTTACCCATGTGCACGGAGTCAAGTGGATGGCGGAATTGAAAACGATGTGTGATGCGGCAGAATCTCGCTTGGCAGCGGGTGGGAAGGAGCTTGTCCGCCCGACCAGCTCAGGGAGCGATGCCTCCCGTTCCGCCTCTAAATTGCATGAGGGTGATTTATACTTATGTCCAGAGTCTTTAAACGCCTTTGAAGGGGCATTAGGAGGCGTATGTGAAGCCGTCGATGCTGTTTTCGAAAACGACGCAACACGGCGCGCGTTCGTCTGTGTTCGTCCACCGGGCCACCATTGTTCTTCGGATTATCCTTCTGGATTTTGCTGGTTGAATAATGTGCATGTCGGTATTGCCCACGCTTCGATGACCCACGGCCTAACGCACGCTGCAATCATTGACTTTGATCTGCATCACGGTGATGGATCCCAGACCATTGCCTGGGAGCAGAACCAGAAAGCAATATCGGGACATAGAAATGCCCTGCCACATCAAAAAGTCAAAATCGGCTATTTTAGTTTGCATGATATCAACTCATACCCTTGTGAAAGTGGTGATGAAGAGAAAGTCATGAACGCCAGCGTCTGCATTGACAATGCTCACGGCCAATCCGTCTGGAATGTGCACCTTGAATCATGGAACGATGCTACGGAGTTTTGGCAGTTGTATAATACGAAGTACACGGTTCTTCTGGACAAGGCTCGTGGCTTTTTGCGATCGCAGGCTCAGCAAATAAGTGCTTCGACAAGTTATGTCCGACCAAAGGCTGCGATTTTCATCTCCGCAGGGTTCGACGCCAGTGAATGGGAAGGTGTTGGCATGCAAAGGCATCAAGTCAATGTCCCTACAGATTTCTACGCTAAATTTACGTTAGATATCATCCGACTCGCCGAGGAAGAGGATCTAGCAGTGGACGGGAGAGTCATTAGTGTTCTCGAAGGCGGATATAGTGACCGGGCACTAACTAGTGGAGTTTTCAGCCATATTTCAGCTCTTGCAGTTACGCAAAACTCGGTTGACCACACAGAAAATAATAGCCGCCTAATATCTGAGATGTTCAATCGCCTTGATCTTGAGGATCAGAGTGGACAGGGCTCAAGCTCTGGGTTGACTGAGGAGCCTGTAGCCTTCGACACGACGTGGTGGAGCGTCCCGATGCTGGAAGAGTTGGAAGCGATTTCCCAGCGCCCGCCTCCGCCACCTATTCGCAAGTCTCGCGATAAGGGACAGCCAAATTTCTTAGCACATACCCAAGCGTCGGCGGCGAAAGCAGTTGCGCCGGTCAAGGATCGGGGAGCTCTGTTCTCTCACGATGGTACTCCAGACGAACCTTACTCGGTTCCCGAAGCCGATTGGGCATTGGCAACGGTTGAATTATCCAAAGCCATTATACCCACTGACCGGCAGACTTTAAGCCTGAAGTATGCCGATTTAAAGGGGGAAAATGGCCGTACTAAACGAGAACGCCATTCACTGACAAGCTCTACCGAACTCGAAAGTGTTTCCGAACGCGGTCACATGCAACTTCGGGAAAGAAAGCCCAAAGCATCAGTATTCCCAGAGTTGCAACCTGGAAATTCTAGACCGGCCCGCAGCACTCGCCGGACTACTATAGCATCATCTAGCGACTTACCCGATCCCACCCTTCTCGAAACACCAATTGAAGCTCTTGAGGAAGCTCAGGTGCCACCTCCACCACTTTCCCGAAAGCTCAGTGTAACCTCGAGCGCGGTCAGTGCGACATCTAAAGACAGCACCACCCGAAAGCCTCGCGAGGCTCCAAATCGCCCTGTTAGCAGAACACAAGCCCCAACCTCGAGGCCTGCAACATCTCTGGTTTTGAATGTCCCGAAGCAAAGGGCGGCTACGTCGGGTAGAACACCAGGAAAAAATGGGCGGTCCCTTTCAAAAAGGGCACCTCCGCCAGATGAAAAGCTTGATAATGCTATCGAAAGCCCTAGCTCCACCCGTGCAATCTCCCTGAATGAAGGCATTGACACCATTTCGAGCGGCGTGAGGAAAATACAACTTAGGCTGAAGGTCCCTACCCCTGAAGAGCATGCTGCTCGAGAGGCAGCAAGAATTGCAGAAGAACGGAGTAGGGCCGCAAGTAGACCGCCAAAGAAGAGTTCTGTGGCACGAGCACAAAAACAATACCCAGGCAAGCCAGCGGCAAAGTCTTCCCGTACGATGACACCTGCAGCGGCTTCAAAGGTTGAGTTGAAGCCTGTTACTATCGATCCACCGACAATCCCTCTCCCGGCGGAGTCTAACCCGATTTCGCCGACTGAGATATTGGTCTCAAATACTGCTCTAAGCCCTGAAGAGCAGCGAGGCACCAACAACCAGTCTTTTCCTTCTCCGCCTCTAACACCACTTTCACCATTTACCCAACCGCAAAAGACGGTTCAATCAGCTCCCCCAACGACTTACACTAAGGAAAGCCTTCCCGTTTTCACTTCAACTTCTGCCATCCCATTTGGCCCTCCACCCGTCAAGGATTCTGGTTCATATTAGTTGGTATCTGCGGCCTCGCTGGCTGTTTGTCTTGCTTAGCGCAGTGTTTCCTTTTTTATTTGTATCCTTTGGCTGTATACTTACCTTTTTCTTAATGCGCGTATGTTGTGGGGAGTATTTTTGTGTATTTGATGTTGGCGTTGCATATAATACCCCAGGCTGTCGAGGCGCATATACCCACAACACATAGCGTCGAAATGATAATTTGGCAATTCCTGCAGCGGCAGTTCCATCGCAAGGTCTTCTGTCCCAGCTATCACTCACTGAGAGCGTTACTAGGAGACGCTGGTCCCTGCCATTCGTCTGTTCCCTGTTTGTCAGCGTGCACCGGTCCGACCACTCAATACCGTATCACATGTACGTATCGGAAAGACCTTTTTAATATCTTATTCTTGGTCATTAGCTATGAGCCCTTTTGTTTACTGGACTGTATAATCTTACTCGGTGCAGCTCTGAATCAATCTGTTGCCCCTGATATCCAGACAAACAAGGCAAACAGAACTCATCCTCTTGGCGATGACTAATCCGTCGAGATGTGGCTGGAACATTCCGTGTGGCTCCGTCCGCCTCTTAACTCCGCGTCGTTCTTGATATCCCGGTGGACGAAGGGCTCCGGCTCGCAGAGAGAGCTATCACCAGTTGTCAGCGTTTAGTTTTGATTTATAAACGCATTCATTCATACAGCCATACTGTCAGTCTTTTAGTGAACCCCCTTTGACCCCTCACAATCCCGTCACCATGCCGCCTTCATCCCCCCCTCTCTCAGGCCACCGGCAAGAGTCCTTTACGCAAATGGGCCCAGAGCACGATCTGGACGCAATCGGCAAGCACTGCCAGTTCGAGTACTGCCGGCAACTCGATTTCCTTCCGTTCCGGTGTGAATCATGCAAGAACACCTTCTGCCTCGACCACCGCACCGAGACCGCGCACAAGTGCCCTAAAGAAGGAGAATGGGCGGCCGCACGGAGAAGAAAAGAAGGCGGCGCGACGAGGAACAATAGCATGCTCTCGCCCAACACAAAACCAACAATCTATAATACCACGCAATGTTCGCATCCGCAGTGCAAGACGTTGATTCACACCTTGCAGAACCCCGGTGTGCACTGCAAGAATTGCAATAGGCAGTATTGCCTGTCGCATCGATTGCAAGAAGACCACGACTGCTCAAAGTTAATACCGCTCGGCGCAAGACCCGCAGGCGGGAAACTAGCTTCCGTATCGCAAACCAACGTGGATAAGGCCCGATCGGCATTCTCCAAACTGCGCGCGTGGGGCAAGGACAAGTCATCCAACGTCGCGGCGAATCTGGCGCCCAAGCCCAAACCGCCCAGCAGCGCGGCGGCGAGGACCGCAAACCTCAATGCGCTGAAGAGATCTGCAAAAGGTGATTCGAAAATCGATGTGTCGAAGCGGTTCTACCTCCATGTGGAAGCGTCAGCGGATACCACCAAGTCGAAATATCCTTCTGGGGATTTCTATTTTGATGCGGGGTGGAGTGTGGGCCGGTTGTTGGACGATGCGGCGAAGAGGTTGCAAGTTCAGAATGTGAATAACCGGGTGGAAGGGGAGGATGAACGGTTGAGAGTGTTCCATGTCGAGGGAGGGAAGCTGTTAGATTTCCCTTTAAAGATTGGGAGCTGTGGAGTTGCGCAGGGGGACACGATTGTGTTATTAAGAGGCGTTGGGCCACCGATTCCCGATCTGATCGAGGCATAGTGTCAAAATCTTGAGCGTTTTCGAGCATAGACTCGTTTGCATCTCTGTTGCATGTTTTCATTGCAAGAGCATGGGCGTTTTAGGTGACTGGGCTCTGGAAGGTCTATCTGGCTTTGGCTTTTTTGGGAATCTCTTGGATATAATGGTAATGACCAGTGCATGATATACATTTCTCTTCATCTCTCACTCCAAATCGTAAAGGGGTAGTCGTATAAACATTAGGACGGTTGAAATAGAACCAACAAGACACCCTCTCAAACACTCATCTTCATTTTAATCATCTTATGCGGTTTATACCCGATGACCTCAAAGTCACTCTCTTCCCATCCATCCATCTCCCCACTCCCGCGGTCCTCCCTCTTGATTTTGAGCTCCGGGAACGCAGTAGGTTCTCGCGTCAGCTGCTCCTGCAACGCCTCGACATGATCGAGATATACATGGGCATCACCCATAGTATGGGTCAATGTGCCAGGGTATAAATCAGCAGCGTGGGCTAGCATATGCGTAAGGATTGCATACGAAGCGATGTTGAAAGGCACCCCAAGGCCCATGTCGCACGATCGTTGGTAGAGAAGACAGTGCAACGTCCCCTTTTGCCTTTTCCCAGTCTCCCCATTCGCGTCCGGTGCGAAAGAGACGTAAAACTGGGCAAACATATGACAAGGCGGCAATGCCATCTTCTTCAAGTCCGCCGGATTCCATGCGCTGAGGATAATCCGCCTATCGTATGGATTCTCCTTCAACTTCCTCACCACCTCGACGATTTGATCCACCCCTTTCCCAGTGTAGTCTGCTTTCGCATCCACGTATTCCGCGCCAAAATGCCGCCATTGAAACCCGTACACGGGACCCAGGTCGCCCACGTCCCGATGCGACAGGCCAACCGAGTCAAGGAATTCCCGGCTCCCGTTCCCATCCCAGATTTTTACACCAGCTTCGCTGAGAGGGATAGAGGATGTGCTTCCCGAGACGAACCAGAGCAATTCGAGTATTACAGCGCGGAGGAAGACGCGTTTCGTTGTGAGGAGGGGTAAAATCGGGATTGGGGCGGAAGACGACGCCGGGCCGGGTTTGGAGAGGGAAAAGCGAAGTTGTGGTGGCGCGAAGAGGGAGCGTGTTCCTGTCCCTGTGCGGTCAGGGCGGTGTTCGCCTGTTGTGAGTATCGAGCGGATGAGGTTGAGGTATTGGTGTTCTTCGTGCGAGGGGTCGTGCGGTGGGTTTGGAGAGGCGGCGGGCTGGGGGGGAGTTACGGGCTCTTGAACCACATGGATGCCGTTCGCAGGTGCAATGGATGCCATGGCGACTCGAGAAGCGAAAGATATCTTAGTTGTTTGTTGAGTGTGATGAGGAAGAGTTGCCAATCCAATTCCCGTCGCGTCGAATCACGACGCGAAAAGAAGTTTTGTCACAAATCTATTTTAAGAACATGCTATGAAAGACTGTTATATCCGTCAAATGCACAACCAGCGCTCCCCCAATGCAAAGCGAAGTCTCAGTAAGTCCTTTTCCTTCGTAATCACCCATCCTTCCGCCCTTTAATCCGCCATTAGATCTACGCCGACTTGCCGGAGTGCATTCACTGCCCAGTCGGGATACTCTGAACGGTTGCTATATAAATTTGCAAAGAACTCGCGGCAAAACGCTGGATACTGGTCCTCTAAAATAGCTTGTCTCGCGCGGTTCATTAGAGAAAGGAGGGAATGAACATTGTGCATTGTAAGCCTGTCAATATGTCAGATAAGCTCACTCCGTTCAATGAGATAACTTACAGATGTGCTCCAACTGTCTCCTTTGAGGCTAGATGGTGGATGTACGCGCGTGTAATGCCCAAGCCTCCTTCGGATTTGGGTCTGCACGTAGTACACTTGCAGCCCTCCTCGATCGGCCTCAGATCATTAGCATATGATGCGTGTCGGAGACTGATAGTGCCGTAGGACGTGACGGCATTCCCAAACCGCTGTTCAAATTAATTCCGGGAAACAATCAAAAGAATTAGCTCGCGACTCACAGCTGTTCGTGTAGGCCAGACGCAATCAAACATATCTGCACCCAAAGCGACCGCTACAACTAAATCTTCAGGGTAGCCCTGTACGCGATTAGCTGCGGGCTGGACGATTCTATCGTAGATTACACGCTTACCACGCCCATAACATATCTTGGTTTATTCGAAGGCAACAAATCCGTGCACGTATCAACCCTGGTAGTCATTGTTAACCTATCAATCCTTATGCTCGGGGAAATTCACAGCTTACACTTTGCAAAACTCGTCTTTTGCCTCGCCCCCGGAAAGGCCGCCGATGGCGATACCAGGCGTATCTCTCTCCACCATTTGTTTGCAACATTCTTTTCTCATTTCCAAGTCGAGTCCACCTTGTATAATACAGAATAAATTCTGCCTCTCAGGATATTTATGTGCATCGATGCAACGATCCAACCAACGCACCGAACGTTCCATTGCTTCTTTCATGCGTTCATGGTCAGGGGAAGTCGTAGCGATAACATCGTCAAGTTGCATGATAATATCCGACCCTATCGAGTTTTGTAATGATATCGAATGCTCCGGAGTGAGAAGCCTCTTGGGAAGTTAGCTACCGTCTACGCGAAATAGGCATACGGGCGCAGAATATCTCACATCGGTGTCCCATCATGCGGACTTAAAAACCTAACTCCCTCCTCCGTGACTTTGGCAAGTTTTAATAGAGAAACCATCTGGAACCTGTTAGACCGGAAAATGAATCATTCCTGCATTAGCAATGATCGCGCAAATGCGCCGGACGTTTAATACCAGACGAAATATCCTCCGACACAGCAAGAAGAATACAACTCACCCTCCGCTATCCGTCAATATATTCCTATCCCACCCTTGAAACTTATGCGCTCCGCCCACCGCATCCAACACCTCCTGACCTGGCTTCAATCCCAGGTGATATGTGTTATTCAAGCATAGCATACACCCCGTTTGCTTAAGCTGGTCCGGCGTCAGCCCTTTTAACGATGCTTGCGTCGCAACGGGCATGAATATGGGTAATTGGACGGGCCCATGAGGGAGATTGAGCGTGCTGGCGCGTGCTTTGGTTGTCTGTACAGTTTCACAAGGCTTAGCCGGTGCAGTGAAGATTTTTGAGGGCAGATCAACAGACCGAGCATGTCGCTTCCAGGGTAAATTCTAACGCTGAGGGCATCGGTCTGCGTGGTGAGTAACTCATCCTCGTCGAAGCCCCGGGTGCCGTCGTTGGTTCGGTTGGCATGGTTGCCGAATGGCGGATGAACTCGCGGATTCTTGGAAGCTGCTGTGAGGCTACGCGTATAAGAGGTCTTGAACTGAAGGGGCTGCAGAGTAGGTATTTCATCTCATCATATCTTGACCCGTGAGCTGCGTTGGACCAGAAATCAGTGACGCACTAAAGTCGAGGTTGAACTCCCAGCTTCTGCTGCTTCCACCCCAACATCCAACGCCCAAAGAACCAACGATCCGATATCAAGCACAGAGAAATAATATGTGAGGAGCTGATTTCATAGATGTCTCTTTGCTAACCATCAAAACTTCACTGTTAGGCTCATTTGCCCTAGATTCGCAGACAACACCCTAGCTGCAGCAGGACACCAACCAGCTGGAACAGACACTCTCACACCACCGCCATTACGAATTGATCAAAATCCCAGATTTAACCCCAAAGCTGAGACTCCAGTCCGTCTAGTTGGCCCAGATCCATGCAAGTGCAACCTGTGCTGAAGCGCATCCTCTTTGTTTCGCAAACACATTCAACTTCGCGACCAGTTCGAGATTTCTTGGGACCTTCTGCACATACAAGGATTAAAACACCCTCTGCCGGGTTTAAAGAACAACTGCTCCGTACTTCTAGTTGGAAGTTTGTGACTTGTCCAGTCAGGAATCCATAACCAAGTGGTGCATATGTTAAAATCGGAATATTCAACTCATTGCTGGTCGGGGCAATTCCATGGCTGAAGATATCGCTACTCCACAGGGAAAATGCGAGGATACCAAAGTGTAAACGGTATGCACGTCTATTTTGAACAGCGCGCTGTCATAGATCGGTGTCCAAATCATATTTCACGGGAAGGCTTGGGATGGATATACAACTTTGCTCTCTGATATGGCCCTCGAGACGCTCAAGGATGCAGGTTTGTGGGCTCCTCTTAACCCTATATTCGCTGCTCTCGTATTTCTATTAGAAGCTGCTCAGTTTAATCAAAGGTATGTTTATCGGACTTCACTTGTCTCCCGACGGGCATCTTCATTATTTCTGCATCGTCATTACTTCAAATACTCGTGCTCACCCGAGAAAATTAAACCATAATACTACATAATCTCCTAATAAACCTCTTTGAATTCAATAGAGAGCCAGGCCGTTTTCTTCTCATTGCCGAGGTATTCCAAATCCAGTTTGCAGTTCACGGCCTCGCAGTCTCAACCAATAGATTGGGGGCTTTTGGTTTGCAGCCATGTCCAGGCAGGGAAATCTGGGACGCTGCGGTTCGTTTATGGTCCCATTAGTGACCGGTATTCTGCACATCCTGGATCTGGAATCAACCTCCTACGCTTGTATAGCCTTGGAAAACATTCGCAGACGAGAACAAAAATGTAAATTTTCATAAACGGGTATCGCCCCAGAACGCTCAAACTCCGCCATGGCTCTCCCATAAGGATTCCCTGCGTACCGCAATAACACCAAGCAATCGAATGCATTGAATTCAGCAGGACAGTTATGCGATTCAGCTCATCCGCTGAAACGCTCTTATCCTGCCCAAATCTGCACTTCGTCCAACGACATCCCGCCAATCTCTCCCAGCCAATCCTGCGACAACCTCCCAATGGGATCGTCTCCACAGGAATGCTCATGAATATTCTGCAAATCCCTAAAGCAGTCCCTTAGCACCGAATCCACCGCCAGCGGCGGACTTGCTACCATTTCGGGCACCGGCCACGATGGCTCCATGTTATTATTTCCCATCGGGGCGATTCCGCTCATAGACATGTTGGATGGCGAAGAGAGTCCGGCCATGGGTATAGGGGTTTGCGAATGCTGGCCGGCTGTCGATGATGATGGCGGCGGAGAGCTGAGCAGTTCAATCGCATCGGCGAGAACGGCGTCGCTAAGGCGGTGAAAGACTTCGTGAGTGTGCCGCGAAGCTGACCATCGCTCAGAGACGGCTACGAGCACGTTTGAGCAGGCACGCGTCTCGTTGACGATTTCTATGATCGATGGATCTTCATCCAGCATCGTGGTCGGGTGACCGCCAGTTGCGAGTCGACGTTTTGCTCGGAAATGGCGACCGACTGCATAAACGTAAGAAAGGCCCGCCATGAACACCGCATGTAGGGTGATCCATGTATAGTTGATCCTTCTGGAGCGATGTAAATGAGCGTATAGAGTGATAGATTGTTTGGCAGCCATGAAAATGGTCTGTATCGCCACTGGGGCTTTTACAGTCAATGCGGAAAAGGCGGGAGATGGACGGTAAAGCATTAGTATCGCATTATGATAAAGAATTTCATACCATTCATGAGCGCGAAAACTCGATCTATCACCTGGGATTGCGCTCGTCAAGTCTACCGCAGGCAGGTTGAGGGAAACTGTGTCGTGGCGCCATGCCTCAAGTTCCGCTGCCAAATTCTCCCTCATTTCTAAAGCAGAACTAGCCTCAATTTTGGGCCGAGAGCGCTGTGAGCTGTGCAACGAAGCAAGAATCTTGCCGCATAGTATCCGATAACGAACAATATGGACGAATAGGGCGGTACGGGAGAATGTCTCCCCGTTTGAGGGATAGAAACTCGATCCCGGCGGGGTTATATCTAAATCGAATTGAGAATCGGGGAGAGAAACATCGATATCTTCCAGTCGGACTGCAAAGGGCCGCCCAAGTGTGATGCTTACGACACTAATGATTCACTGAGTTAACAGGCCGATCGAATGTACAGGAATAGGGCTGGATAGAAGCGCACCGATCCATTGCAACAACACAAAAGAAACATCGACGCTTGGTTTCAGATTGACTGAATTGATCTGTAGCACTGAGCTCAGATTGATCACGCTTCTGCCGAACCTGATAGACTAGCTCTCGGTGAAGGCCCAATTCAAAGCAAATTCGCGCAGCTACCCCGACTAAATGCCACATACCTAGAGCTCATTAGCGAAACTGCCAAATACCCTATGCAGCCGAAAGGGCAGATCGTACTTGCAGAAGTGTCCTGTATCGAACTTCTCATGCGATACTGCACAAGCAAAAGAATGGCCTGCAGGGCCTTGATCCCACCAAGCTGCAGAACTTCATTTAGCCTAGCCAACGCAATTGCGTGAAAGTTTTCCGCATCAGGTCTCGTCTGCCAATCGAATTTATGATAGTCAACGGAAGATATCGCCAATATCATATAATATACAAATGCAGCGGAGTGGTCACGATCCAGAAAGGATGGGTCCACATATATCTGTTCGAACGACGCAAGGACGGTAGGACGATGGAGAAATGGATAGCAAATATGATCATGCTCGAAATATGCATGGTGGAGGTCTCGCGCGAACTGTTCGGGAGGGATTTGGGAGATATCCGTCTTTGGAGTCGATGAAAAGGAGGCCGGCAGGCCATTGGGAGGATAGGGAGAATTCCGCTGAAACTCTCTGCTCTTGTGCGTGATTGAGGAAGTAGGCGCTGAAGTTGCCTCTACAGTAGCACGGACAAGGTTGGCAAAGAGCACTCCGCTTCCAGATCCGAGAAACTGCCTCTCCCCGGCGGCGGTTAGCGATAGAAACGACACCTCGTCTGTCACTTCATTATCACTCTCTGAACGCGATTGATGCTGGTCGTGAGGATGGGCTGTTGATAACGCATCCGCCCTATCCTCGCCTGCGATGCCCTTCACTCCCGTCGCTGCGGCGAGCTGGCTGTTAGCACTGGCCAATCTAGCAGCCAAAGCACGGTTAGTCGATTCACACTGCTTCAGGCGACGTTCTAGTCTCTCGACAACCTCTTTTCTATACGTAGGCTCCTTGGAGCGATCTGTGTAGGCACATGGAACGCCAGCCTTCAAACATGGGCCGCAGACCGGTACCTGTTTATCACATCGTGACTTTCGGCGATGGCAACGGTCGCAGGCCTGCATGGTCGATCAATTAAGGAACTTTGTTCGGGCCTTTCGCTAGATTTTGGGCCGCGGAATATTTTCTTTTCGTGCTTCCCTCCCTGAACGACTTCCGGGGCCTCCTTGTCTAACCGCCTAGCAATAGTTCGCCGTTCGGTTGCGCAGTATGATAGGGTCTTCGTGAGGCTCGATTGGGTGCCAGGATGGATCGGTGTCGGTTCCCCATGACCGAGGGAGGCCAAGTGGGAGATTCGAGTGTGAGGGCGACCGTCGTTGGGCGTTCCGGTCTCGCAGCGGTCGACGGGTCGCTGGTGGATCGTGGGGTTGGGGTCTCTGCGGATCCTGCAACATCTCCTCCGCCTTGGTTAACTATTGGCCCGGTCTGTTGCAGAGCAGACGGTCACCGCTGCACAGCTGGGGCGTGGAAGGGTGCACAAGGACGACTGTCGGGTTCAGGATTGAAGCAGACGGCCTTGAACGAAAACCATCGACGAAGAATGTCGTCGGACTCGCCCTTGACGGTTTGCTGTTCGGCCAGCTGGAAGTTGCACGGTTAAGCCCGGCAATCGGGAAATCCGCACTTGATGCGCCGTGGCTGATTGCCAATATCTTCACGTTCGGCACTCGAGGCCCACGGTTGATGGAAATCTGCCAAACGATCTCACCGCTGGGTCGATGAAGTTCTAAATCTGGCATGCTGCGTCTTCCGCCGTTGAAAAGCAGGCAGAGAGTGGCTGAGCTGGGCGAGTGAGGCCGCGGCTGCTGCCTTTTGATATGCTACATGTCAACTCGACGGTGGCATTGCATTGCATATGCACATGGCCGGCAGGGGCTATGGATCATTCGCTTCAGGAGACCTTTGGTCCGGAGCGCGATCTTCCCCATACAATGTGCGGGTGTTGAGCATACAACATACCCACTCGCAAACATCCCCTGCAAACTGGAATGATCTCGATGGCAAATGTGCAGATCATGCAAGTGTTGAAACCTGCAGTGGAGAGATACACTGCTACGGTACTTATATACGCAACTGCGCGTAAATAGGCAGGCGATGCAACTTGAAAACAGTTGCAGAGATCAGTCTTTGAAATAGTGGGATTACTTCCCAAACCGGTTGAAAAAAGCTGTAGATGCCAAACTAGATCAAAGCCAAATGGGGCCAAAACCGAATCCAAGAAGCCTCCACAATTTACCTGCCAAATAGATGCCCTAATCCCTTCCCAATAGCCAAAAGTTTTCCTTGCCGTGTTTTCCAATCTGTGCAGTACAATCCATCTTTGCTGTCTCAAGCGTACAGACCCTCAAAACAAAAAAACAGCTTCCTTAGACGTGAAAGACGTGGGGAGGAAACCAGCAAGGAAACACAAATGAAGTGCGCGATAAGGCGATGCGGTTACAGCGCAACGATGTGATGAAAAGTAAAAATGTTAAAAGGCTGAAATCTCGCTTGAACGTGGTGAAACCTGAACGAAAGAGTCGATATAAAAGCACCTTTCCATTTAAATGGAACGCCGGTAGGGAGGAACAGCTGAATGTTTCCGCGTCTGATTCGTGGAGAGACATATTCCGCCCAGGCCGGCAATAGCACGTAGCTAAGAAGGCCAGTTTGGCCGGGAGTTTGGAGAGTTCTGTTGGTTTTGTGCGTAGAGCTGCCCCTGCAGAGTGGTCGAGGTTGGGGGAGACACGCGGGAGCTCAACACTGTGTATGCAACCTCTGCAGCGTCTTCTTTGGCATTGTGGATGTATTGGCCGTCATAGAAATAGCGAGCCGAAAAGTTGTTGCCCTGGATGGTCACAGTGCTGGACCAGGCGGTTCGACCTCCTGAAAAGGAAAAGGGGTCAACATCATGTTTTCCGCAACAACTTGTGTTTTGGTCCTTGTCTCTTCGATGAATAGTCGCAATTCAGAGAGAGAAAAAGGGGCAAAGCAGTATTTTTCAGGTGGCGGATGGAGACCAAATTTCAAAAGACGAAGAAAGGTTTCGATAGAACGGAATATAAGGGTAATGGAATTAGCTACCTCGGCGGTCCGATACGAGGTTGAAAACAGGCGCTTGCAGGAGGGACAGCTTGCAATGGTCTATATCGTATATTAGCCATTGTTATAGCCTTGCAGACTGAGGAGAATTCGGACCTTGAAGCTTTTCCTGCCATGTGGGGCGAGTAACTCCGTTGACAGGAGGAGTAGCCATCTTGTATATGCGGATTGGGGATAAAAACAGGGGGGAAGTGTATGAGCTATCCCGTTCACGTTAGAAACCCTGTGCCAGACATCAATGCCGGAGGAGCTTACTAGGCAAGGAAAGGAATGCGGCCGTTTTTTCGCTGTGTCGAAGCGCTGAGAGGGGGGAGTATTCACGTTTGGATTTCCTATCTTCGTAATGCAGAAATTCAACTCGAGCATCGAAAGGGGGAATCTGGAGGATATTATAGCAGCCAGATCGATGAACAGGACACAGAGCCAAGAAGGGAAGCGTATATATCGCTCGAGCTGAGGTTCTTTTAGAGATTCGCGTCTGATTCCACGCCACTGGAGTGGTTCTGGCCCTGGCGGTCCTATAAAAGAACCGGGCATCATGCAGCATAAGGAAGTAGGATGGCAATATGTCATAGTTGTCCACACTCATACGGCACCACCCATTTGCAACTCTTCCCCCATGCGTTGTAGTTGGGCGAAACTCCCTCCTCCAACCCCCAGACAAGGTGCCAGGAGGCTGATGGGTCGGCCCGCTGCACTCCCATTAGATAGATCTTTGGGAGAACATGACAAGCTAAATGGACGAACGAGGAAACCCTGCAAATGTACGCCTGCCTATCCTCCGGAACGAAGGAATAAAAGGGAGTGCGGAAAGCAAATGATTGGGCAAAGAAGGAATCATCTCTACCCCACTAGAGCATCACGATGTGGAGGGGTAGCGATATGGGATAAAGTTGGATGCAATATGATATCGTCTCCCAGTCTGGGTGCGAATAGGCGGTTGACGGGGCGAGGGGTTTAGCCCTAGCGGTCTTTTTTTTAGTATTTTCATGTTTGCTCTCCCTTTTCGGTGAAAAGGCCGGGGATCGAATCGAATCGGGCCGGTTAATTATCACGAAGCAATCCATGAGAAAACTCGAACCAAGTTAGGGCGGATGCGTTGTGGAGAGCAAAGCGAGGGCATGTTGGGCAGCGGAGATCCTTTTCGCAATGGGCCCAGCGCAGAGTTGCCAGCACATCAATTGGCAGAATGGCGAGAACCCAAAATCGAAATACTGGAGCGAAGCCCGCACACAGAGAGAGGGAGACAAAGATGAGGCATAGCCGACGAGTGGAATCAGGAGCTTGCCCGCCATGGAGGGGGGAAGGGTGTGGTTCAAGCAGCTGAATGCTTGTCCTGCTGGTTGAGGACTCAATCCCCGGTCAGTGGACCTGGGGAAAGAATCAGATCTCTGAGTTGCTGCTGGTCGACTCGGCAGGCGAAACGCCAGGACTAACGAGTTAGTGGAAGAATAATGGCCAGCCCGGAGAGACAGCGAAAAGGGGGGGGTTCCCTGGGTGGTCGTCTGAGAAATCCATTCTTCCTTTCCAGCAAGGCCGACGTGCAGACAGACGCGGCACCAACAGGCAAGCGGCTGGGATCAAAGTGGATGGTCCAACAGGGGACATTCCGAATTTCTTGCAGGGTTGATTCGCTGCTTTTTCTTTTTCTTCGGAACACCGCTCTATGTTGGGCATTCATACGTGCATCTCCTGTTCATCCCACACGAGCCCCAGAGGAAGAACGACGTGATCGAGTCCAGTGATTGAATCAATCAATCGATCGTAGATGGCTGAAACTGGAGCGGGATTAGGCAAAGAAATCAACACCCAAGCAACGGGATATCGAGTCAGCCCCTTTGACGGTGACGGCCTTCAACGCCTGAACGCGTGGGTTATCCGTCTAACTACTCCGTACGACTCAAATCGTTGTGTATCGCGCTCTCACGGCGCTCTCTCGTGGGCGAGCCCAGTGCTTCCAGGGAGCATGTGTTTGGCTCCATGCTCAAGCTACAAAAAGGGATATTCAAAACCTCCCTGGCACCAGTCTCATCCGCATACCCGAAGATATGCAGGGGCATCCATTAAAAATTCCAAATTGATCCACGAACCGTTCCCTGCGGCAAGTTTTGAAAATCCGCGCCCGAAAGTAGGCAAACCCACGCAATGAGACCGGACTGACCCAAAATGCCCTGGCAACACCGGCTTGTTACGATACATAGAATGCTGCCCATTCCAGCAGTCCCGGAGGTCATCTGAGAGAAAGATGGGAAAAGGCGTCCTCAAAACTCGAACGCTGCAGCAAGAACGAGGAGGCAGAGGGAGATTTGGCTCGAATAGAGACCAACAGCTCAGGGGCCGTACCAACGATTGGGATGTGTGCAAGACACGATATTATACTCATGTAAGCCAAATGAGTGATGTGCATCGTCGGAACCATCACGTTAAAAGACGCCGTAGGTATCCCAGGTTTGCAACCGTATGAAAGCTGAGACCCAAGTCTCGCATGCGTCAAAGGCGTGAGCCGATGTCGTGCTGTTACTCGTCCACATCATTGACCAGGAAATCAAGTTAAGAACTAATACATAATAGAATCAAACAGAAATCTGTCGCTAATCCCCCGTGAAAACACCGACCAAAGCAGTTGTCATGACCCATGACTCCGGACTACTAGCTGGCGAATGGAATTGAAATGCTGAGACCCGGTGGACCACCGGTTTTGGAAGACTTTATCGAAAAGTCTGGTTGAAACAAGCGACTCTACGCTTTTGATAAACGTGGACGCAATGGGAGATGACGGCCGCGACTTTTCTCTGCTGTGCCAACGCCGCTTGATACTGTCATCGACCAGCGCAATTAATCCGGTGGCGACGACAACACTATGAATGTTTTGTTGTCAGTCATCTGAAACCCAAAAATGGATCCAGCTCACTGTCAAGGGAGAACCCACTCCGCAATATCGCTCATTTTTTCAAAAATCGATGCGTCGCTGATCCATATCGACGATGGTGGAACCCAACCACCCTTGCTCTCTTCGTCAAGGGCTTCCATTGGGGCTAATGATTCGGGGACGATGTGCGCAACGGGTTTTGGCTTGTTCAAATCGTATAGGTGGTAGGAGAGCGTTTCTGAGCAAGTGTCGTGTTGGATTGACCTCCTCCATTGATATTTTGTACTCCAATACTCATAATCGTAGCGTTTTGAGATTCTTGAGCCCCGTCTCTCGATATCTACATGAGCGTAATTGGAAAACTCCAATTTTATCGTATTCGTTGGTGAAGGCTCATCCTGCGGAAAAGGGGTGTCGTCTATAGCACACTCTTTCCGTTGCGATATCGCATCTTCTTCCAGGCCTGATTTATATCCAGAGTCTTGTCTTCTTAGATCAATACGAGGGTTCCGCTGGGCGTTGGATTTCGGCCAAAACGACGGAAAGCCGGTCCAAGGAAAGGATGCACCCCGTTTCTCGCCAGGAGCCCGTCGATATTTCCTTAAGGAATGGCACACTTCCCTGCCGGACTGACGGCAGTATCGCCGGAGTGAAAACTTCCTGTCCTGTAAATTAAGCATCCGTAGATGGAAAAGAATCACTTCACATTGTCGTCCCCGCGATTCCGTCACCAACGTGGATACCCGTAAATTCAAATTCCCATCGCGAGTCGTGTCATCATGTCTGATCATGAGCTTTCTACACGACGGGAACAGCCCAGCGAAGCTAACCGGCGTAGAAGCAATGGCGTCTGCCGGGAATGCCTCATATCTCTCTTGTACGAGCTCAACGTGGTTTCTTTTCTCTAGTTCATTGTGCGGGGGTAGCGTGGAAGCGTAGGTCGATGCGGACGCCCTCGGGCCATCGTCGTTACCGAACCAATTGGTACCGTCTGATGCTGGAGCGTTCTGCATGGCGCATGAGTTGGAATTTTGGAGTTACGTCGCCGAGAGACCATGCAAGAGGTGGCACGAAATGACCGATTTCGCAAACTAGAATTTGGTGCAGATGTTGTGGCTGAGCCCACAGTGAGGTCCAATTTCAATATTGACGGACGTTGCAAGATAAGATTAGGGGCTTGGTGCGATTAGAGGATGTAATTCTTGAATCGGGGTTCTCGTCGGCCTCAATGTGACCAGGTTTGAAGATAGACGGAACGGTCAAAGGTAAATGACATGGTTGAGCATCAGCGCGAGGTATCCATGGTTCTTTGTAATATAAGCTTTGCTCAAGGTGAAACAAACAATAAATTATTGCCAGTCTGACAATGTGAGACTTGTTAAATGATGCTCTTGGAATAATTGGGAGCCAAAGAATGAAGAACAACAGATGAGAATCAACACTCTGGAGGGGCAAGATATAGTTTCTGGAGCGTCAGCATATTAAGTCAGCTAATGGATAACACAAACTGTTGAACAAGGGGGAACGAGGGATCGCAACAGCACATTATTAGTTAGAGGAGACTAATAGCCATATGCATGCTGACAACGAGCCATCATCTATCGTCAGGCCCTCCCTCGGGCCATTCTTTTTACGAAGCGATTCAGAACAGCCAAACCCCAGGACCTGGTGGGTTGCGGACTGTTTGCAACTGGGTGCTTGGCTGTCTTGGGGCCATCCTGCTGCAGCATTGTTTCTTGTCAAGCAGCTGCAGGTCAACGGGGAGTGCATTAGGGTGTTCTCGTGAGTGGCCGACGGCAACAGACGGAGTCGGTGAGGGGTGGTATTGTGTGGCAGACGCGGTTCCGCGTTCCACATGTGTTGCTCCGGGAGCGAGACTGAGGAGCGTCCGATTCGCACCGAGTCTGTCATTCACTGGCTATTCCTCTCGTTCTTGAGGAACGCCGTCTGGTGCTTGTCCTTCTGTTCGTCTTTCTTTTCTCGCCAAACAGCAAAGAGCCGTTGTGCCCGAGCCCGTCATGTGACCACAACTCGGTGGAATATTTCACAGACCGCCTGCGCCAAGAGATATCACGTGGAGATAATGCGCTGACTAAGCCATACATGGCATCTGCGGTTTCGGTACAATGAACTCACTTGTTCATGACAATACTCAAAACCATCCCTAGATACCCGGTGTCAAACTGCGCCAGATCCCCGACTATGAGCACTTCCTCAGCTGCGGAACCTCTCACCGAAATGCCCTCCCCGTCTCGCACCTCTGCCCTTCTCGCCAATCTCTCCTCGGTAACCTCCCGCATCTCTGCCGCCACCACTGGCAATCCAGTTCGTCTTGTTGCTGTCTCCAAACTCAAGCCCGCGTCTGATATCCTCGCTCTTCATAGTCCACCAACCTCCCACATCCATTTTGGTGAAAACTATCTCCAGGAGCTCCTCGAAAAATCAAAAATCCTCCCGCCTGAAATCAGGTGGCATTTCATCGGTGGTTTACAATCCAACAAATGCGTCACCCTAGCCAGAGACGTGAGGGGCCTTTGGGCCGTCGAGAGCGTAGATACACAAAAGAAGGCGTCTCTATTGGATAAAGGGTGGGGAGAGAGATCCAACAGCCAGGAGGGCCAGCAACAGGAACCATTGCGTGTCTTTGTGCAAGTGAACACTTCCGGGGAAGAGAGTAAATCCGGCGTCGAGCCGTCGAATGCAGTGGAGCTGTGCCGGTTCATCCAAGAGAAGTGCCCGCGGCTGAAACTGCAGGGCTTAATGACCATTGGAGCCATTGCTCGTTCGAAGGCCACCACTCCAGAGACACAAAATGAGGATTTTGTGTGTCTGAGAGAGACCAGGGATAATGTTTGCCAGGAGCTGGGATGGGAGGGAGAGGACAAACTGGAGCTGAGCATGGGTATGAGCGAGGATTTCGAAGGGGCTATTGCCATGGGTAGCAATGAGGTTAGAGTGGGAAGCACAATATTCGGGGCGCGTCCACCAAAAGGCGAAGCCAAAGTGACCTCCTGAAATTATCGACGTTCAATAACCAAAATAGAAGAGAAAGAGGGAACGACTGGTGCGCTCATGCTGAAAAAGGCCCAAACATTCTGCTCAAAAACCTTATATACAATGTATATTGCTCCTGTGCTCACCAAAGTAATCGAATGCCTAATTATTCCCGCGAAAATGTCTTCAAATGCCGCCAATGTCGTTCGTGGTGTTCTGTGGGTAGATCGACCATTATTCAAGATGCTATTCTACTCGCTGTCATTAGCTCCCCCCTGGCTTAATCTTTCTTCCATCAATTTAACCAAAGCTGAAGGAACGTCTTCCTGTGTCGCCCGAATAGTTATTCGATACATCTAGACTTCATGTTAGCGAGAGGTCTATTAATAGATGCTAACTGTATGAGAGAACACGCACCTGCTTCTCATAATTCGGCTCTAATCTCATCAAACAGCCAGTCTTCCGGCTCTCAACCTGGTACACCGCGCATCCGACAATGTTTTTCGGGTTCGGATCCACTCCCGGCAACAATTTCCACTTGAATCCTTCGATGACCTTACGAGTTGACGCTTCATTCATCCTTTGAGTCTTATTCACTAGTCCAAAGGTTGATTGTGCCTCGAGTGGCGCTCCTCCGATTTGTCTCCAACGTTTGAAAAATTCCTCCGAAGCTAGACCAGAAGCTTCCATATATCTATGCATAAGCACAGGAAGTTTAAGTGTGTACGCTTGGAGTGCCCCCGCCAGGTACGATATTCGAATTGTTGGCGCTTGAATAAAGGCGCCTATTGATTCAAAACACACCGTTTGCTGAGTCTGACTCGCGGGAAGAACGTCAGGATCAGGCAAACTCTTAGTATCAACTTTTAGGCCTCCGGGAGAGGGGTTATCAAGCGTAGTGGTGAACGAGCCGATTGAAAACGACGCTTTGTTTGTGAAGTATAGCTTGCATACACCTAGATGGCCACGGTATTCTGAGCGTATGCCAACTTGAATTTGGGCATCTTCAAACAAGACACCCTCTTCAGCAAAATATAGCCGGTTGAAGCCCGCATACCAATCTGGTGATAGATGTGCAGCGCTTGCAAAATTCGGCATAGGAGCGTCTGAAGTCGTCATTAAATCTAAACCTGCCAAGTCGTTTGAAGCCGCAGCTTTAGGAGCCCCATTTGACCCAGACGTGCCATTGGCTATAGTGGTGAAGGTGCGCCTCAAGTTTGGTTTTTGAGTAAGCATGAATTCCTTTTCATCCGTATTGGCATGCTTCCCACCAACCACCCAAGTTCGCTTGTCCGTAGTGCCACCACTCTTTTGATGCAAGCGAGAAAGTAGCACGGAGATTCTTTCTGAAAACGGCGGCATCTCGTCGCAAACCGTACGTAAAAGGTCATCTGTTGGCAATGACGCAAGCTGAAGATATTCGTAGGCGCGCTGCTGGAGTTCAGAGTCGGGAGAGTGCGAGTAGGCGCCGAACACCTGTAATAATTGAGGTTTAATCTCTGGGAAGAGATTGACGAACTTGATAAAGCATGATAATATAAAGGCCCGAGAGTGATCTGAGCAGTAACTCATTTTCGCATATAGGGCCAAAAGCTGTTCAATGGGAGAACTGCCCTTGTTATCGGCGATCAAGTGGCCAAATTCACCGAGGATATAGGCACCAATTTTTACCAGGCTGTCATGGCAATCGCCTTTGATGTATCCCAGTATATTCTGTGCGGCATATGCCTGAAGCTCTTCGTTGTTCGTGACGACTTGTATAACCCGTTGCCAAACTTCGTCGCTAACGTGCTCACCAGCGACATGCAGCAGCTTGAGTGAGATGTCAACATACCACTGCGCGTCTGTCGCGTATTTTTCGGTCAATATGGCAATTTTGAGCACCATTTCCTCTCGAATTGCATAATCGGCTGTCTGGAGATATTTGAGCAGTTCGTTTACGATTGGACGGGCATTGCTCGTATCGCACATACTGTACAGCAAGTCTAGTCCTTTTCGCCTTACGCTGATATCGCGGTCCCGAAGAGAGCCGATGATGATACTCTGATGCTTTTTAATGGGATCCAGGGTTTCCGCTCTAGCAGCAAAATGTGCCATAGCTTCCAATCCTAGGTAGCGTACATTTGTTTCTCGAGATTGGATGAATTTGCCAAGTCTCGCGGAGATCTGAATCATTAGTGCTTGTTCACTTTCAAGATGAATAAGTAGGTTAATTGCTTCAAAAAGGACAGCATTCTGAGCGTTATTCTGTTGCACGTTTTTTGGCATATCCACGGCGGAATTCATAATTTCTTGAAGCGACTGCCTGATGAGTTCGCGGACATGGGTATCCTCTAGTACATCAACTCCATCAGAAATACCGTATTTGAGCAAAAGGAGGTAAATCTAACGTACCAGATGGAGGGTAATATTGGAGGAGCCGCAAGAATTTCACCTGTATCCATGGGCAAGGTACTTTATAGTAGATATAGTCGGCCGGGATATCTTTATCCACCACGATTCTTTTTAGTCTTTGGGCTGCTTTCACATAGCTTCCCTTGTACTGCTCAGGATTATCTTGAGCGAGCGCCGAAACAAGTGAACTGACAGAAAGCGTAACGCCTATATCAGGGTCATCCATAAGAGAAATGATACGTTCTGCCCATTCCTGCTGCACAATGCCAGGGTATTTGCGGTACAGCCGCAACAGAGTAAGAGCGGCTTTTTTCTTCACGAACGCTTTAGATGTCCTATGCCCACACGTTATTCAAATGCCATCCAAGAGAGGTAAAGGTTGCGTACGGAGAGATCAATAATCGGTGGACGTCAGCGCTTAACGCCTCGCCCATTTCCCTGCCACCCACATTGGCAACCGCATGTAGCGCCAGGCAATTGTTCAACTCATTATGATCAAGCAGGTCCTTTCGGATACTATTCACGACCAAATGTAACAATTCGTGCTGTTCGTGGAGGAAAAGGGTGACAGCCAGATATCCGATCTGCTTCTCAGAGTACTTGGTGGCCGATATCAAGTTAACTGCTTCTAAATGCCCAAAGTCGACGTCGTAGCCCTGTATATAGACATACAAGAGCTTGCAAACATATTTCTTCTTCTGATACCCATTCAAGTTTCCATCCTTGAACTTTTGCCGGATATTCGCTAATTCCTTATTGATCCGCTTCTCCTCCAATTCACGAGCTCGAGCGTTCCGCAAATCGGCTATAAATTGGACCAATCCTCGCATAGTTGTCGACATTATGCCGGTTTAGTTCCGACCGAGCTGGTCGTTTGCTCTATCCGGACTCTCCGCGTCCAGCTAGGCTTCACACACGACTCAACGCCAACATATTTTCTCCAAGGTTGTCAGTTATAACGTAGCATCAGCATCACCCCCGATGGCGGATGTCGAGGAAGGACGACGTGTATTGATCGTGGAAATGCTCGAGCAGTTTGCTCCAATAGGGGAATTCGCGCGGAGGAAGGCGACTGGGTTCAGGGTGATGACGGGAGAAGACGTGCTCGAACGTCTGAAGATCTAGAGCGCCAAAGCCAACGCGTCAGGAGCAACGTAATTGTTGATGAGAGCCCTGTCCGTTCGGTCGTGGCGTTGCCCTCCTGTAATTATTAACATTGACCCTGAATGCATCTTGAAGTGACATTGCCGGATGGATCCCTACCAACGGAATATTTTTATGCCGGAGCCATTTAGAGTTTTGAACTAGTTAACTTAAATAGTAATTGCTTATATAATAAACGTTATCTTATCTCCGGCGCTAGTCGCTACCAGCCGAGCTCCAGATCGAACAAGCGATCTCTCGTGCAGAAAGTTGGTGTTGCCAGATAGATGATATGTTTCGTTCACAGCCCGTTTAACCAGGTCTCAATAGCCCGACAAATGTGGCACCCAAACAGTACCATCCGGACTCCAATCCTCCGCGATAAATCCCCGATACCCGTTTTTCTATGCCTTCGTGGTGAAATCAATTTCGCCAGGGAAATTGCCGGCATCAACAGCTTTCTCGCAAGTGCACGAATCTAGCGCGGAACGAAAAGGTCGATCAATCATACCATTCTTCTGATGAATGTCAGGGCCTGGGGGAACTATACTTACCAGCTATTCTACGACCACATGGACAGGTCTCGCCGACGGGAGAGTGGTTCTCCGACTCTGCTCGCTCACACGTGCATTGCCCTGCGGGACGGCTTCCTATAATGCAATACGGGGTCAGAGTCATGCATTTGTGGCCGTCATGCCATAAGCGGATAGACATACTGCAAGAACATCTTGGCCCTGAAGTGTCGTTTTCGGTTTGTGCCCGCTCACAGTTGCAATGCAAAGCATGTTGTTTTCCGCACGAGCAGCGAGCCTGTACAGCACAGACACAACCTTCCTTGGAAGAGTGACAGCAGGACATGGGCGGGACAACCATTTTGACTTTTTTATGTGATGGTTAGGTCTCTCAGTCAAATATTTGAATCGTGGTCTGCTACCGGTTTCAGCTCCAACGAGTAGCAATTGCAGGGATTAAGACACTGTAATGTTGATGAAAAGGTTAGGGAAGTTTAGAGGATTTCAGGTGCCCTGATGGGCTCTTTATACCATTTCCGCTCAGCCCATTCCCATCGTTGATACTTGACTGAATGTCTATTCACTGCGTCATGGATGGCAGCATTAGCAATAAGTTTGATCTGATTGGCTACAGCAAACTCATGCTGACCAACCTCGGATGCAAACTAATCAAACAGGAAGCTCGATGGCGAACATGGACTTGAAACCAATCAAAGCTAAGACGAAAATATCTTCGTCTTCGCCAAACTTTCAATGCGACGTACATATGGAGTACGGAGTATGAATACGAAAGCGCTAGATTCCATTAATGCTGACAGGGCTTGCTCAATCATAAACCATCAACAGAGAGATATGAATCAAAAACAGCCGCGAAAGAGGGCACATGCATGGCAAAAGAAACAACAAAGGGTCGATAAAATACAAAGCAAGGGAACTGGCAAGAGATGAACTCTGGCTGAAACCCATGCGAATCTCGAAGATTTCGAGCCATTCCTCCGAAAGAAGTAAAGAAGCGAACATTGACCACCCACATGATACATCGGAGTCTGGAGAATATTCAAGGCCCTATATCCCACACATTCCTAACAGGGTCAACTGGATACGGTAGCTCAACGAAGCGAGCGTTCGGTTCAAATGCAAGACTATGAGCAGCAAAGCCCATCGTTGGCGAAGAGTCTTGTGGGTAAGATATATCAAACGAACTAAGACCAAAGCATGGACGCGGCTGAACGAGCTGATCTTCTGAGGAAGCAGAGTGCGGAGTTGAAGATATAACACCGGTTGCCGGGCCCCGTTCTTCGAGCTGGGAACTCATGACTTTTGAGCACGATTAGCTTCAAATCCTCGTGTATATTAAGTGAATTGATATCAATATTTACCAGATTTGTCAGTGAAACTCTTCGCTGATAAAGGTGTTAAGGGAGTGATCCCACCGCAATTTAGAGTGGGCGGTGTTAACTTGGCCGGCGATAGGTGTGTTGTGTTATTCCCAGAAGATACCCTACTCCAAAGACTGGTTGATGGGGAGGCAGATTCCCCAGATCTCCTTGACTCAAATGGAACAGTTTGTTCTAAAGGGGGCGTGGGTATCTGGGGGTATGTCCATGGCATGAATGGGATCTTCCGTTCGGTGATCGAGGGATTGGGAGTGGTACCATCAGAGTCGGTATTAGATTCCGGTACCGACAGCGGAGTCGGTGCGTAGTAGCCATGCGAGGACAAGTTGTTTAACGGAGCAGTTACATACTCCTCACCTGTAAACTTGATGCTTTCAATGATTATTGGTGGATCCTTTCTTCCAGACGTATTGTCACCATTTGTTGAAATTGTTGTAACCGGTGTCTTTGAATAGTTCGTATACGGCCAGCGCAAAGCTTTAGCCATATCAAAGTTCTCCGGGACTGCTCTCGACTTTAGCACCCTTTCCCTATCATCGGTGGATAGTCGCTTTAATTTAGCTCTCCTGTTGTAAAAATCAGCTTTTGCACCGTTTGTTTCTTTCTAGATTCCACTCCCTGCTTACCGGTTTTGGAACCAAACTTGAACTTGCCTCGGGCTTAGTCCCGGGATTTCACGGGAAAGGCGTTCTCTATGCGCGGCATCAGGATGTGCTTGCCTTGTGAATTCGTTCATGAGATATCGTGTCTGGTTGTGAGTGAGTCTAATTAGCATTCAAATTAGCGGCCGCATAAAAACTAGAGATTCAATGAAAAATTGGTTTACCTGAACCGTTTCATTTTCCTTTTGGATGCTTTTTCTTCAGAAATTGTGCTGGTCATAGACGGATAGCCATCTTCACTTTGTTGTTCATCGTGACAGGGCGACTGTGCTTCTGTTTCATCATTGTATCTTTCATTGGTCTCAACACGATGTCTTTCGAGACTGGGCAGAGTCCATGCATATGCTGATGGGTATGTGCCTCCAATCTTGCCGTAGGGTTCGCTTTCATGTGACCAAGTGTTACTGAGACGGCATGTGCCTGCACTCAAGAGTCCAACTGGATTAGTTTCGCAGGTCCCCATTGTCGAGGAGAAGATTCGACACGTGATCAGGTCGATAGCACCCTTAATGAAAACAATTGGCCACTGCAATTCAAGGCTTCACAATGCCAACACAAAGCGTATGGTTAAAATCTCACTAAATCCATTAGCTCGGGCCCGAGAGCAAAGGGATCTAATACCACGATGGAGAGATCAAGGGTATGCCAGAGGCTAGAGAGGCTGGGGTTCAATTTAGAAGAAAGAATAATGCAAATATGGCGGGCCCTCCGCTCATATTAAAAATAATGGCATGCTCTGGAGAAAGATAAAGAAAGTCAGCTCACCTTGTATAGACAATTTGCAGATTTATAGCAGTGTTCCGGACGCAATATCAGAAGCATTCGAAGAGGCATGTCAGTCTGGAAAAGAAGGGCCGAGCAGAAGAGATGCAGCAGCCATAGTTAATAAGTGATAAGGAGTCAATCTATAGCAAAACATATGACCGAACAGCCACTGGGTTCTGGTCCGCAACCCCTGTTGGAAGCGTATAATGGTGGCCATGACTGGTGTGGAACCTTGCACCAAGAGGACAGTGCGGGGCAGGAGGCAGGGTGGTATTAGGCTGGTTAACGGTCATGTTATCGACATGCAAAGGATTGCTGGAGAGAAACTTCCCTAGGAACAGGCAACTTATGCAAGGAATCAACCAGAAAGTTGGGTAGACTCTCAGGATCCCTCATTGCTTGTCCTGGTAAACCATGGCTTGTTCTGCTGCAAGAACTCATCTGACTCTTCCAAAGAGATCCGCACTCTTGCCGTGTAGTAACCTACCCTGGCCCCCTTGTTGGAAGAAGGGTGGCCATATCATCTCGTATCGTATGCTCATTGAATGTGCGTCATCGGCCAACGCCGGCACTTCTCGTCATCGTCTTCTTTTTTGGGGGTTCGTGGTGGCTCGTTTCTGATGTCCGCGGTCTCATGCGTGGTGTAAACCAACAGGAACACGATGCCAGCATTGGCCCCGCAGCCTCGATGTGCAAGAAGCAGCAAATGGCGGAAGTTGTAGTGAAGACCCAGCCCCAAGTCGGGGCCTTGCAGTGTCCACGGGCTAGTAGTCCCTGGGCATTGGACTGGAAAGCGTGGTGATGTCAAGAACCAGAGTCGACGTGCACGGAGTTAATACCCGAAAGGCTCAAAGACCAAATCGCGGGGTCCGTCGACAGGGGGACGATGTCGTCGCCAAACACATCCTCGCCACTACGACGACACCTGTCATCCATGGGGCCAAAGCCTATAGTTCAATGGCCAAGGGCCCAGGTTGATCGGCGTGAACGCTGGGTCTTGAGACATTCCCGAGAGAGAATCGGAGACGGCCCGATGCCAATCTTTGGGTGTGATCGGTGCCATGAAGCGGAACACACAGTCAAAGAGCGATATCTGGCCAATTGGAGTAATATGCAACGAATCTGCCCACAATTCCTCTCTCGCCCAACTGTGGCTAAGGTGTCGAGTGAAGTTCTCGGAGATGAAACTGGAGACTGCCAGGCCAGTTAGAAACAACCCCCAAACCCCAACGCAAGGCTAACGCGTTATGTAACTCGTTGCTTTGTGCTATAAAAAGCTTCTTCAGATCACAACTACTAGTTAATTGGCCTCTGCACGTAGAGAATCCCAGATCAAATTTTGATATGTATGCCAGGAGCCCACATATCTCGCCCTAGCGTCTCAGTTTGCTCCTGAAGGCTGACGCTGATGACTTTTACCATGAACGGATAAAACCTCCGATAGTAGTGGGATTTCTTGAAACACAATCTCAGGGTCTACGGCATATATGTGGTCAATGAGCTTAAACGTACATACATAATTTCCGATCATCTCAGGGGCACAAGACGCCGAGATGACATAGCCTAACTGCAGTCTACTAGAGCTCCGAGACACGAGGGAAAGGCCCTGCTTAGACCGCTCATCTTTGGCAGCGCTTAAAATAGACTTAAAACATCGACATCTCTGGTGCGCTGCTAGGGACGGCGATGAAGCTGGAACGAGCTTTTGATGATTTTTCGTGCCTGGATGCGTCAAATTTGCGGCGTGCCTTGCGAGCGAGTCCCCTTATAGTTAGCACAAGTCATATATTTAGAGATTCTGCAGGAAAACCCAATTCAGGTTTCGATAAATCCTGTGATGCAGGAACAGCCTTAGGCTCAGCTATCCTCCGCAAAACCTTCTTAAGTTGGGGCTATTGCGAGAACGCCTCGCATATTTCAGGTCTGGATTGGGGGATTAGAAGCAACCGCGCTCGGAGATCATCAGCGAATCCCTGCTGAAGCTTCCATGGGAGGACAAGCTCTCTGAAAGGGGGTGCATAATTACACCGTGAGTGCTTCCTTTTTCGTGAAGGTGCTTATGATCTGATGCTCAGCCAGAGCCATCCTGTGTCAGTGTCAACTGTCGAATAGTACGCCCGTCCTCAAAATCTTTTCTATGCTTTCCACATTTCAACCTTCAACGGTATCGTTCTCTTTCGTTGACTCATTTTTCACCGACCCAATTTCTTGACCTTCACCTCCTTCCACTTCCGAACCTGGCTTCTCAGGAGGTGGGCTTTCAAAGAGGATTTTGAGGTTTTTCCCATCGTCGATTTTATCGAACTTGTTTAACTTACTGCGGGAGGATAGCCGCAAGACTCTCCACGCCTTGCTTGCCTTTCCTCTGGCAGCTTCTTCCTTCTCGTCATCATTTTGGGCCATCTCGATATTGAATTCATCATCGGCGATACCCCGCATGTACGAATCGGGTGATGGGTTTGAGAATCTACCATGGAATTAGACTCATCCGTGTTTTTGAACCCTGTGGAAGCTTACCTGTCTGCCTCTCTAAGCCGATCTAGATTGCCTAGGTTGGCATCCTCTGACAAAAATTTAAGATCTAGTGATCCTAGTGGTGTCGCTCGCAGCCGTTTGTTTGTCGTTAATTTCATAACACCAGATTGCGTATCCAGGTATTCCTGAACTTGAATTGGAGCCTTCTCAATAGCCGGGCATGCCTCTGCCTTCCAACGGACCCAGTTTTTATCCCTCGTCAAGACAGTATCAACCATGCGATAATAGAACTTCCCGTCTAACCCCTGTTGCAAGTAGCCTGCAATCGATGACTTCATTTGAGTTGCCCATTTTGCCTATAAACCGTGAGTAGCCGGGTCGGCAACTAAAATATATTTTACTTACATCCTCATCACTAAGAACATAGCTGTATAAAACAGATTTGTTTGTAGCGTCTGCGAGCTTTGCTTTCGCTCTCGGTGTGAGCGAAATCAGGAAGTCAAGAATGATCAGGGACTGGACAAGAATATGCCTTCGGAATGCAACGTCATTGGCCTAACCCATGTCAGCATATCAACCAAATCTGGGGCTTTGCGAATGGCAAACCTCTAGTTCGAACAAATCCCGACTGGTTAGATATTTTGGGTTGAACGTATTTGCAGCCTCGGATCCGTTTTCGGTACGTTTCCGTTTTATCCCACGTCGCGAAGTTTCCTCCGATCCCTTTGTCATTCCACGTTTCTCTAAATCAATGCTGACCTTCTGAAAGTTTGAAATGGTAGATTCGAGACCCTTTTTGAAGGAGGCGAAATGTTCTGGATCAAAAAGTCGCGTGGGTGACGAAAAACTCGCTTGCAGCCCCCAAAATATCGGGTAAAGAGCATCCATATCAATTGATGCATCTTCTGTTTGGCTTGGGGTTGCTGTGGATGGCTTGCGGCGTTGTCCGTCAGGCTCAGCAGAAGTTTGTAAATTCGTGGCTGTCTCTAATTTTGTGGAGTCTTCTAGAGCCTTTGGCGGTTCTGCATCCCTCATTTCCACGTCTGCAGCATCTTCCTCCGCTGATGCCGATGTTGGAAGTTCATCGAAGGTTGTGATATTCTCTGTATGGTATTCTCCTCTTAAATTCACTGAACTCTTGTCCCCCAAAGGGAATGACTGAAAAAGAAATATGAAAACACGTCCACAAAATACGGTGTCTTCCGCCCGAGAGAGTCGCCGCAGTAATTCGTTGCATGACCGGAGAATAATCAAACTCTTTTGCTTGAAATGTTTCTTCCCCAAAGATTAGAAATATCATCTTTTTAAGCCGGACTATCCTGCAGAACTTACAGCTGTATTACGCTCGCGCCTGGATTCTAGGTAATCAAACACCTTGCGGCAGCCATCGATGGTTTGGCTATCAAGAAGCTCCTCCACGAGCCAGAAGATAAGCCCGGGTTCGCATCGTTCTAAGGGGCAAGTTGTCAGCCGTACGGGGCAAGAGGGTCTAGAGTGCTACCGGCGATTTACCGTTGTCGGAGAATATCGACACTATGTCAAGGAGATTCCATATGTCGACAAAGTTGGGTTCATTTATGGACGTTGTAGCCTTGTATATGGTGAAAATTAGAAGTCATTCCTAGATAGTGATAAAGAAAAATCCAAACTAACCAACAGACGATAGAATTTTTCCCGAAAGGCAGTCTCTACCGCTGCGTACGCCGCCTGGGCGCTCTTGGATGCATCTTCTCCGTCGTCGTCAATCCAACGGATCGCGTCCCCCAAGTCAGACTCTGTGACTGGAGGCTCGATTGCGGAGCTTTGCTTCACCTCCGTTGCTTTCTCTAGAAGCTCTTGAACGTGTTTCCGGTAGACCTGGACTGAGCGAATGTCCCCAACGGCCATTTTCGAAGCACTGCTAAAGCGACAGCAGCCGGCACTGGACAGATTTTGAATGTGGTTGAGCGTTGAACTGAGCTTGGAGGGAGATGAAAGCTCAAGCCGCAGGCAATGGGGCCATTGTGTAATGTAATTACACCGATACAGCCCAAAATATGTCAATTTTACGAAAGTTTACCAAGTATCTTGTAACAATGGCCGTAATTATGTAACCATAACTCCAGAGCTTCAATCCATTAAGACGGAGCAACACTGAGCGCAGCCTCTGCGCATCAGATATCCAGTCCACGATGGGGTTACAAATGCGCCCAGCCATGGCGCGCAGCTTAGATATGCGTCCCACCGTGAACGATCTTCAGGAGGAGAATCAATGGGTGGCTTTAGCGAGAGGTCACTGGCTTAAATCGTCCAAACCGCGCAAGGTCAGGCCTGAGACTATCAAGAGTGACATTTGGGACCCTTTGGTATCAGAAGGCTTTTCGCTTCATTCACTGCTTCTGCTGGAAAACCTCCATATTTTAGAGAAGTAGGTTGAAGCTGTATCTTAGAGGCGGGACGATGCTGACCATATCGCGGTTAGATATTTATGGCCTACCTATTCGGAGGACGCCTCGAATTACCATGTCCTGTTGATTGCCGTGATTGTGGGCATCAAGCAAAGGGAACATCTGCCAATATGGGGTAAGTAACTGGGCCTTACCCCAAGCTCAATGTCCGTTCTAACAGGCCTCAGAACACTTTTCCGACCGACCGGACGATTTTTCGAATCTCTTCCGCCGTATCCTTTCTATGAATCTTGACTCTACGCTCTCTACCACATCCCGCATCTATCTTCTTTCGTTCGTCATTAGCGCCTTTCAATCATTAGAGAACCCCCGAGTTCGTAAAGAATGCGCACCCCTCGTCTCCATCTCTATTTGGCACAACCTCTTCAGCGTCGAATCTTGCAATAATCAGCTTGAACAATCCGCAGCTCTGAAACGGGCATGGCGCGTGTCGACCAAACGATATGATATGGCGGACGATGGTGGAAAGGCGCGAATCCGGTTTGAGAGATCTTGGCTATACTCCATGCTCTTGGACTTCTTGCAGCGGTTGAAATCACTTGAGGAAGGGAACGACGATAGCATGAGATACTGCGAACGCTTCATGGAGCTTCTTGTCGACCTAGAAAGTCAACTACCCACGCGGCGCTACGTAAATACTTTGTTAAAGGATCTACATATCCTACCGATCCTCCATAACTCAGCAGTCCTCAAAACTGGAACAGGCTTGCTGCTGCGTGATTTCTACAACCTTCTCAGACACTTCATTGAATTTTCTATAGATGATCAGTCTGGCCAACAGCTTTCTCCCCAAGAGTCCTACGATATCCACTGCCAACGGCTTGCTCGGCTTCAAAGAGTTGCGATCAAACAATTCAAAAGCAAGTTGACTCTTCTTGCACTCGCCAATTACGGCTCTATTGAAAAACGCTCTGAGTTAGAGGCGCATCTATCGGATCTGGACGATGCACAATTGGAAAGTTTGTGTTCTGCTTTAGGATTTAGGACAAAATATCCAGAGCAGACTGGCATCCAGGCGGACCGCAAGTTATTACTCGAAATCATCGTGTCCGCCTTCGAACGTCGGGCATCATTTCAAAAAGTTGCATCCGATCTATCTGTTTTGCCGACCGAAAAATCACTGTATGAACCGGCATTGCTTCGGAACGAAGTGTACGATGGTTCCCGACCGTTGGCGGTTCCAAAGTTAAACCTACAATATTTGAGCGTAGGCGACTTTTTATGGCGCTCGCTTTTGCTTTACCGAGCAGAGTCGTTTTTCGAGATTAAAGCCGACCTAGAATCGGTTGTGAAACGGATGGCGCCACGCATTAGTCGAGAAACCAAGCAGACAACATTCGAGGGCTTCTCACGGATGGCTATTCCAATTTCCAAGCCCGCCATCATAGAGGTAGCACCAGCGAAAATAGGAAGCGCAAGCCCAGCTCACGTTCGTGCTGAAATCTTATTAGATGTTAGCCGGCTGACTGACAATATTCGTCGAGAATGGGAGACGCTTCGACCGGACGATGTGATATTCCTGCTAGCAGTCGGCGCCACAAGCCCCATCTCTACCCTGTCATTTAATTCCACCAATAAACCTGAGGATATTGGAATATTGCACGTTCGCTGTGCAGAAATAGTACAAATCCTCGATGCAAACGGTCGTATGATCCGCGAGCCTCAAAATGTTCAACAAAATGGTCATTTCCGACAGCGACCTAATCAGCGAAGGCTACTCGTCAATTTGGATGCTAGAACTTACAAGGCAGATTTAGACGCACGCGGAAAGGACCAACCCGATATCTATTCATCAATAAACGTGATCGTCCGCCGGAAAGGCCGTGAAAATAATTTTAAGCCGATTCTTGAAACAGTCCAGGCTCTAACAACCGCGGACACAAAACTTCCGTCATGGCTACAGGAAGTTTTCCTAGGATATGGAGATCCACGCAGCGCTACCTACCCCAACTTAGGGACCAAAGTGAAGTCTATTGATTATAGAGACACTTTTCTGGATTGGGATCATCTTGTTGAAAGTTTTCCGGATCGCTCCATTGAACCGGAAGCAGGCAGAAATGCTGGTTTTGGGCGGCCATTTGTGTTGGAAATGGACGACAATCAATCCAAGGGGGAAACGCTGAATCCATCCAGGAAAAGGAGACGTGATCCCGATGAAACCGTGCCGCCTTCAAAAAGTTCAATACGTGTTTCTACATATAAACCCGTCAACCGGGGACCTTATATTGTAGACACGCCGAAAATGAACCAAATACGGTTCACGCCCGCCCAAGTCAATGCCATTGTTTCTGGCACCCAGCCAGGTTTAACCATAATTGTTGGGCCTCCAGGCACAGGAAAGACTGATGTTGCGACTCAAATTATTAGCAACATATATCATAATTTCCCCAATGAGCGGACATTATTAGTAGCTCATAGCAATCAAGCCCTCAACCAATTGTTCCAGAAGATCATTGCGTTGGATATTGACGAACGACACCTTCTCCGCCTTGGGCATGGGGAAGAGGAACTCGAAACTGAAGCTAGTTATAGCAAATTCGGCAGAGTGGAGTCGTTTCTAGAAAATAGGTCCGGATATCTTTCTGAAATTGATCGCCTGGCGGCGTCAATTGGGGCAGAAGGGGCGCATGGAAACTCATGTGAAACGGCGGGATACTTTAATACCGTACACATCCAGCCGGCTTGGACGAAATTCTGGGATACCGCGCGATTGGAAGAGTCATCGTGCGAAAGCATAGTTCAAGCTTTCCCTTTTCACTCATTCTTCGCGAACGCTCCTCAACCCCTTTTCAAGCCAGAGGCGTCAAAGGAAGAAGTTTGTGATATCGCCGCTGGCTGTCAACGCCATCTCGACAAAATATTCTCTGAACTAGAAGATATTCGTCCTTTCGAGATATTACGGCAGCAACGAGACAGGGCGAACTACCTTTTGGTCAAAGAAGCTAGAATTATAGCGATGACTTCAACCCATGCCGCAATGAGACGCCAGGAGATAGCCAACCTTGGGTTCCATTACGATAACGTTATCATGGAAGAAGCTGCCCAGGTTACCGAAATTGAAAGTGTGATTCCCTGCGCTCTTCAAAATACCATAAATGGTGAGTTACCACTGAAACGGGTGGTGCTATGCGGTGACCATCTCCAAAATTCTCCGATTGTCCAGAACATAGCATTCCGCCAATATGCGAATTTCGAACAGACCCTCTTCCTTCGGCTGGTTAGATTAGGCGTGCCAACAATCACCCTAGACCAACAAGGTCGGGCACGTCCATCTATTGCCGAATTATTCAAATGGAGATACGAAAGACTAGGCAACCTCCCCACTGTCGAGAATGGAGAAGAGTTTAAGATTGCCAATGCAGGATTCCGATACGATTACCAATTCATCAACGTACCGAATTATCAAGGGACTGGCGAGAGGGAGCCATCTCCACATTTTATCCAAAATCTGGGTGAAGCTGAATACGCTGTCGCCTTATTCCAATATATGCGTTTACTAGGCTACTCCGCTTCGAAAATTTCCATTCTCACAACGTATGCTGGCCAGAGAGCTTTGATCAAGGATGTTCTGAATCACAGATGTGCAAAAAATTCCCTCTTCGGGCTCCCTAGGATAGTCACAACCGTCGATAAGTATCAAGGAGAGCAAAATGATTGTAAGTCAACCGTTATCGTTGGTGGCGGGTTATTGATCTCTAACTTCACGTGGTAGATATAATTTTGTCTCTCACCCGAACGAAAACAGTGGGATATCTTCGAGATGTCCGACGTCTAACTGTTGCTCTTTCTCGTGCGCGCTTGGGGTTGTATATCTTAGGTCGACGTGAAGTATTCGAGTCATGTTTTGAACTAAAACCCGCATTTGATATTCTTGCCCAGCGCCCAGATAAGCTCATGCTGGTTCCAGGGGAATTGTTCCCCACCTCTAGAGCCCTTGACGAAGATGTCAGTGGTACACCTATGGAAAGCATAGAGCACATAGGGCAGTATGTATATGAAATGACGCAGGCAAAGATCAAGGCCATGGGGGACGAAATGACCGCTTTGGATGCGACTCCTATGGACGAAGATGAGGAGCTCGGTGGAATTGAAGAGGAGGCATTCGATGACGCTGCGCGAGAAAGTCTTCTGGACTGATTCAAGCGCATGAAGTTACGCAAATATTAGCTTGTGCGGAGGGGTCGAGAGCAGTATATGCGTTTGATGAGAAATGTCTGATTTTGTATATTAAATTATTAGGCGCGGGGGTTTGGGCGAGGCTCGAAAAATACTGGCTTTAATATGATTGTGAGATGAATGTTTCAAGGTCATTGGCTTGATTGGGTTCTATCACTGGGAATTCAGAAACATGGAGTGGTACAGTCTTCCACAAGGTCTATATAGTTTTGTATCTCCTAAATATACATAAAAGGCGGTAGTGAGATTCCAGTATCATTTTCCTTTTCGGTCGATATCTTCCCCGTTTGGATGGATCAGGGCTCCGGCTTAAGTTCCTCCACGATGTTTCTCGGGTCTCTGAAAGCATGGGCAACATATCTACACGGTTATCAGGGCGAAGGTCGAAGTGTGATCTGAGTAGAACACTAGGACGTGCTTACTTTGTATGGCTTCCTCTGGCAACAAGCTCGTTTTTAGCATTCATAAACTTGATGCTAGTATATGCCAAATTATTTCCAACTAATTGCTTGTTAGCAGAACCTTTTGGGAGAGAAATGCACTCGTATGCTAGACCGAAGATCTTCCATACATTTGTCGCAAGACACCTCCTGAATATCGAATATTAGAGCTTAATTTATGAGAGGGTTAATTGAAACCATGGCCTTCACGTACTGCGAGAATTTTATCTCCGACTTTGCCGCCAGAGCTGAGGTAAGTCACTGGGGAGCTTCAACTTAGCATGGAAAGTATACATCAGGGTTGTGGACGGAGGTTAACCATTAAGATCTGTTGAAACACCTGTGGCAAAAAGGCCTCTTGAAGCCACTGCAAGTGAACCTCCTAGATCCACTGGTAGAGAATTATCAGCAATAGTCGTCAAGCAATGTAGCGGACAACAGGTTGGAGTTTACCCATGCTAGCAATCGTGCCTCCATGAAGTATGTTCAAGCGGTTCTGTATTGTATGCTTAGCTACTATCCTAGCTACTTTCAGTCAAGCCACAGACTATCTCATAGCGAAAGCGCGAGGCACATTCGTGAGGAGAGCCAGTCTCACATTTTGACAGCTTCGACGCCCCAAAAATCAGGTTAATGGAGATTAGGATGCAGCTGGGACATACCGTATGTTCCTTCTTGATATCTAATTCAAAATTGACGACGCCTGGACGAGCAGCCGTGACCCGAAGCTAGAAGAGGCGTGTCCGAATTAGAAACCATCTTTCAATACCAGGCTACCAGCTCGACTCTGGTATCGTATGCCACGCCGACAAACCCCCTGAAGTATAGGGGTTCAAAGCTGGGTCGAAAGATGGTCATGAACCCCACGATTCATCCCCTAGCTTCACAGCAGTAAACATACATTATCTAGCAACCTGCACGTTGTCGCTATCAGCATAGAAACCATGGAAGCACCTTGACAATTCAAGGGAATACCTCGGTTCTAGGCCTGATGTAGCGCGGAACGACTCCCAGACCTGTAGAGAGAAGTTAGCGGACGAGGGTCACAGAAGCAAGAGGGATTCAGAGTCTACTATCTTACAGATCTAACAAATTTTAAAGCCGCCATCTTGTAAGTGGAAACGCCGTGTGTGATGCGAATCGTTCCGCTTCAAAGGACATCCGGAGCGGAGCTTAGAAGCGGTGATTAGTCATCAATCAAGTGGCCGACTTGGGAACTGCACTGCAAGACGTGAGAACTCGAATCACCACCACGTTCAATTGGAGCTTGATAGCTGCCAGCTTTTTGAACACTATGATCGATAGATAGCTCACGCACTTTGCACGGCGCGCAGCATTGATTGCCGGTTTCAAGATGGCTGCCTCTTCCTCCCGCTCCCTGGAATATCTGGAGAGCCTCCCAGGGACCGTATTTCTCAAGCTATATCAACAACCTTCAACTGCGCTGGCGATCTTTCGACGGATGCTGCCCCATCTAGGTAGTTCAACCTCCATTGAATGTATACTGCTTTCCCCTTGCTAACCATCTCAATCCTACCCAGCAAAATGCTTTGTGATGGCGCTTCTCTATTTGAAAGATCCGCTCCCAGCAGCTGAGCTTGAGTTATGGGTCAAGACGGAGAGCAAGCGGTACGAAGAATCTTTACGGCTCCAAAAATTACGCGGGGACTTTTCTAATGAGACTCAACAGCGAGAGAGACAACGCTCTATCGATCCTGAGCCGATTACATATCCTTTCAAGCACAACCACTGCAAACCACGTTCGAGCGTTTATGGTTACAAACCCTTTCTCCTCGTCTCTCCGGCAAGCTCTCACTGGAGGGGATAAGCAACAATCATTTGGAGTGATATCCACTACGCCAGACCCGCAACCAATGACTATCGCCGACCTAGACGACTATGCCAGGCGGCAATGGGAAGGAGTTCTTGGCTACATGGTTGGGACAAACACACTGGGTATTCAACGTGAGAGCGTGACGCTCAGCAAGGGAGTCAAATCCCTTCTTCAGGCCTGCCATCTGGTCGAAGTGCGGGACCGCAGAGTAGAAATCACCAAAGAAGGATTCGCCTTCGTTCTCCAAGATGTTAATACGCAGGTCTGGCACATTCTCGTGCTCTACGTTGAAAACGCCGAGGCTATCGGAATGGATAGCGTCGAAGTGCTCTCATTCCTCTTCCTCCTTAGCAGTCTAGAACTTGGACAGTCCTACGAAAAGCAACATTTGAGCTCAACACAACTTCGCACTCTCGCCGACCTCACTGATTTCGGAATTGTTTACCAGCACTCCCCAGCTTCGGAAGCTACTCGTTTTTACCCTACCCGTCTCGCAACCACCCTCACATCCGACTCCATGGCCCTTGCCAGCCCAATGTCAGGTAACCTCGCTCCCACCGGCCCCAATATAAATGAAGCAACTGGGGTTCCGGGAACAGGGTTCATAATCATTGAAACAAACTACCGGTTATACGCCTATACCTCTTCTCCTCTACAAATCTCCCTCATCGCACTTTTCACCACGTTAAAATACCGCTTTCCGAACCTCGTCACGGGGAAGCTAACCCGACAGTCCATCCGTCGGGCCGTGGAAATGGGCATCACAGCTGACCAAATCATCTCTTATCTCACAACCCACGCTCACCCGCAAATGAGGAAACTGAACGCATCAAAATCCACTTCGAACACAGCCGGACTCGCTCCATCCGTTCTACCGCCCACGGTGGTTGATCAAATTCGGCTGTGGCAATTAGAACGAGACAGGCTGAGGGCTACTCCAGGATTCTTGTTCAAGATTTTGCCTCTTCGGCCGAATTCGAAGTCTCATGCGGTACGCTGAGAAATTGGCGTTTGGTATGGAAATCGATAAAAGACGATGTTTTTTGTCACGAGACATGAACAGGTTGCCGCGTTTCTAAGGAGTAAAGCTTCTCGAAGCTAGTACATGGCCCACGCATCGGTAGCATGGCGTTTCCTTTGGTAAGATAGGCTAATGGGGTGGATCGGCGTTATATTGGATAATCTGAGACGGCGACCTGGAGCAACATCTGGAATGAAAACTCAATTGGGTATTGTGATTATTCCCCTTCGCTATTTTTAGATCTTTTCAGGCAGCTTTTCTTTTCTACTATTGGCCTCTCCAACTCTATCCCAAGCTTGATGGCATATCGCCAAATCCGCATGCCCTGATTGTTATGCCGGCAAAATCAAAGACCTCAATTCTTTTGCATGGTGCCCATGACCGCCCTATTTACCTTTGGCCCCTCCCGCTGCTTTCATCCCAACTCGAACCACCGTCTGTCGGCCATCCGCAAGGCCAGCTTTGTTACCTCCTTTCGCCGGTCTTGGGACTCCAGACTTGGTGTATCTGCGTTCATATTCATCTTTAAACCTATGGAGGCTCTTTGTTGCTTCTGAGGTCATGCATGCTTTTTCCAGGGCTGCAAACGCGCGCTTAATGTTGAATTCTTCAATGCTCTCTATCCCGCAAGACTTGAGGAGCTTTGTCCTCGATGGGGCACGATGCGTGATCATGGGATCCGGTTCGTCAAAGGCATCTTCATACTGGAGGCTGTTTACGAGGGTTGATAGGCGGCCAAGCCAGTATTGCTGTGGTTGAGCCTGGAGGACCTGGTGGGCTTTAGCCGTCTACCTCAGAATTCAATTGAGCATGGTGCTCTGGATGCTGCAAGAACGCTTACCAGTGTCACGTTTTCCTCCTTTTCATTCGTTGCGAGTGACGATATCCCAGAAGGCGCTAATGCAGGACATGCAGTAACCGATAATTGCATCTGACGTGGAGGCGTCAAGTCTATTAACGGTTCCGTGATCATCGCAGGTGCGGATGAGTATTTAGCTGTCACGTAGCAGTTTTGGATTGCAGCCCTTGGGCGACGGTTTACCGGTACATCCGGTTTCTCGTTTGTATGGCTCGCGGCCGAGTTCAGATTTTTTGGCACCTCCATTCCCCGTGCAGCTTTCGGAGGCGTCGAAGTGCTAGACGAAGTCGGTGTTTTCGGCCGAATTTGTGCCCTATCAGGTCGGCTTTGGATCATCTTGTTTCCAATGGAATAACTTTTGGGCAGCGCTGGGATTGGTGGCAACGGTAGGTCTCTGTCCCTGGGATCGCAGTTAATGGAACTTCCCATTGATGCTTTGCTCACTGCTCGCATTGTATGATTTGCTCCACGATCCGCACGCCCATCGAGTTGGGCAGCGACGCTGGGGCCGCAGGTGCTTTCTAGCTTGCTCTCCCTGTTGGCGGACCCGTGGAGGGAATTCAAAACAGGGCCCGGAGGCATGGTCGATACCTGTCCTAAAGGGTTGATCGCTGCCACCGACACCGACCGCGGGAGGACTACTTGGCTTGCTCGTGTCGTTTGGATCGCTGCTGTTGTCGGGGTCCTTCTGCAACTAAAGGACATCGCATGCTTTTGTAGCGGCATCGAACCAGCAGGATGGCTATTTTCTATTGACCTTCTCGTTCCCTGTTTCGCCTCTTTCTCCGTTGGAGTCTCTGCTTCTACCTTTTTGTTTTTCGGCCTCGCTTTATTGATTGTTGATAAAGCTTTGATGTCTTGATACGCCACAAATGGTTTTGGTTGACGCGTGATCCGTACATCGGTGCTTAAACTGATATTGGACTTGGAGCTGGCTGGCCCGGGCTCTAGTGCGCATCCTTCTCGAGCAACTGGTGCCACCATTCGGTTTGATGCTGGTATCCTTGACCCAGGCCTTCCCGATGGCAGAGGGGGCAGTGATGGCGCGTCTTCCGTTGAAGGGGCGGTTCGAACAACGGACGTTGATGTGGCTGGGCGAGATTGTAGCAATGGCAGCCTTGACAATGACTTTGAGTGTGGCAGCTTCGCGGAAGGACGGCGCAAATTTGGCGGCGCGGTCGCGTTGGCTTTGTTGCTCTCCGAGTTTATTCGACGCGGTATCGAGTGGAAAGTGCGATTTGCGAAGTTTTGCAAGGAGATTGCCAACGACGATTTTCGACCTGTTTGCTTCCCATTTGCAACGCCATGGCTATCCGCAGTTGAAGTATTCGCCTTCGACATGGATGTGAAAGCCAACTGTTGCTGCTGGGATGATCTGATAATGGCTACCTTGCGGTTAGGGCCTGGAGAGACATGGTGCAATACACACATGAAGAAGCAGGGAAAGATGGAAAGTTAGCTTTTGTGACGGGATGTTCCGGATGCCCTTTTGGACCCTGACCTTCCAAAGGTACACAAAAGCATCACTAAGGTCCGAATTGCCATTTTGCTTGCTTTCAGCCAGTTAGTTTGCGGTTGATGTGCCAATGACAGCAGACTGATGCTCAGGATCTGATATTTGTTCCTTTGTAATGCTACATCTCCATTTACTTCCCGAGATCCTCCTGTCAGATGAATTTAACTGCACCACCATTGTGAAAGAACATACTGCACAGTTTTTCATAGCTGCGAATCCGGCCCATCTGATCTTCAGGGTCTCTGTAGCCAGACGTCGACTCTGGGCAGCCTCAAGGGTAAGTGGTCCTGTGAATCCAGTCGGGCGAGCTTTCTCCTACGGTAATTTGCAACAGACATCCCATCCGTGTCTATCGATGCCAAACAGTTGATCATCGAAACCGTTTTGATATGTGCAAAGTAGAAGGTCATGTGACCTGCCCCTTTTGACTTGCCGTGTTTACAACTCAACGTCGTTCCATCATCGACATAACTACCTAGTTCACGGTTGATGATGAGTGCTCCCTTGTCCTTCATTTGACAGTCAAGCCAACTGTCCAAATAACCTTTCGACAAAAGAGACTGATGCCCTGGTGGTAATTGATATCCTACTGCCGATTCACTTGGTGTACGCTAGCTCTACCTTTGGGATCATAGCTATTGATTCATACCCAGTCACGGCATGATTACTCTTGCGGATATTGAACAGGACAGGTCAGTTGCATTGAGGCGGGTGCTCTCCACTGTCCTGCGCAGTGATGTTGTTAAGGATGTTTTCGCCCAAGTCATTGACGGCCCTCCCATAAAAACATCATACGAGTTTACGACAACTATGAGAAATGATATTTTATCAAGGACTGTGCCCTCACATGAATCGCTGGTGCTGTCGACGAGCTTTTGCAGCTGCAAGACAACGCTTGATTCCTAGGGCTGAATCCAATTGCTCGATACCCTTTTTTTCCTTCGGCCATACCCATACTAATATCTCTCAAGGTCGCTCAATTTTACCAAGATTCACGTAATCTTCCCCGTCCTTCACCATGCACCTCCTAGAACCCGTTGCCATTGCGCTTCACGACATGGCAGGAAATCTATTTGTAACTTTCCACCCAGGTGGGGAGCCTCAGAACCCAGACGTTGATCCATACAAGTTTCAGCCCGAAAATATCAGGTCACTATCGCCGGGGCTTTTTGGACGTGGTTGGTTATTGGGCGGAAGCCCAAGTTTTTGGCGGAGTTGTAGTTTTCGATCGGGGCCCGGGCGAAGAAGCAAGAGATGTAAGTATATCTACTACATGCGCGGGACTGTCTGGACGTTTTGCTACAAGCCCCTAAAGTTGTTGATAATGTGAAGTGTCCAATCATGGGTTTAGTGTCGTGGTGCATATATCCATCCTCGATTCCCTGGTTAGTTGTTCTAGCTTTTTGAAGACCAGCTTACAGAATTCAGCCAAATCAGCTGTGCCTCAACGCAAAACAAGCTTGGGTACCATTTCAATCTACCCTTCCGCTGTGCACCTAATGCCAAAAGAATTGACCATATTGCTGCATTCTGAGATTTGAATATTTACCGAGACCGGTATGAGAGACAGATTCCAGCTCCCCGTTGGGGCCAAATGCGTAGTTCGGCTTGAAAACCATCCAGAGCTTCGGAAACTTATCGAGCAAGCAAAAGAGATGTCTAAATCGCCAAGCGAATGACGATTTAGTTAAGGTGTTATATCTTGATAATCTGGACACTTATTGTTTTGAATTATTCTACAGAAGCAATTGGCTTCCGAAACTCATCATAATACTCAGGAGAGCCTTCTCTATTCCAGTCAAAGCAATAGCTCCCCTTCTGCAACTTTCACTGCACTTCCCTGCAGTTGAACCTTCTGGACCTCCTTGCCGTCCTCCTTCAGCTCCACGCGAACAGAGATCTCACTCCTTTGCCCCATCTCCGCCCCCTGTACGACCTGATACGTAGCTGATTTCCCTTCCATCAGACTCAGATAGGAACACATCCCACTACACGCACTACCGGTAGCCGGATCTTCCAACGTTCCAGCAAGCATGCGGCTACGAATGACATTCTTCTGCAGCTTCTCGTCCCACACATCATGAACCCTAAAGTAAATCGCCACGTGCCCGGGAACATCCCAGCCTTCGTCAAGATATCCTCCCTCCATTGGTGTAGCTGCAGGGATATCATAGCCTCCCGTCGGAGTCGTAACTTTGCCCAGTGCTTCAAGGCTCGGGAGCCGGACGTGCACCGCAGACATGCCTTTGACGATAGACACCACAGGGAACCCATCTGCGTGCGCTGACGCATCCAGGTAAGGTTCAAGTTCCGGATGTAGCCTGAGCAGCTCCTTCAATGGCATTCGAGCGGCATGGATGCGCACATTATGCGGTATCGAAGCAGCCACTTTCGCGGGATCCTCCGTGGACAGAGAAATCGGAATCTCCCCGGCTTTCGTCAGAAGACTGGATGTCGTTTGCCCAGTGGTGCCATATCCCTGTGAGCGGAGGAACCAGTAGGTCGCGCCGATGGTGGGATGGCCGGCAAACGGCAGTTCTCGATCAAGCGTAAAGATGTCGATCTTGCGGCTTTGCTGGCCGGGCGCCTGCGGGTGAACGAAGATGGTTTCCGAGTAGTTGAATTCTCGGGCAATGAGTTGCTTTTGGTCTTGCGTTACTTGCTGGGGATCCTCGAGGAAGACAACGGCCAGAGGGTTGCCCTCGAAGCGTTTGGTGGTGAAGACGTCGAGGGTGACGTAATGGAGAGACTTTGCCATGGCGGTTTATTTATTTATTGTACTGGGTTCTTCAAAAGCGAGCACGACGAGATGGAGTTGAAAACCAAGGGCTGGGATCGGTCATAGCGATTAGTTATATGCAGAGGCTCGTTATCCGTGCTCCGGCCCCGCGATCAATCGTAGGGCGCGGTCTCGGATGTTCACCAACATCAAAAACTCAACCGCAAAGAAGCTTTGCTCAAAAATGCGCCTTATTAGACACATGGTATTCCATTGATTTCCTAGCGGGTATTAAGTAGAAGAAAGCCGCGTCTAGACGAGGCGCTACACCAACCCCCAACGCCCTGGGACCGACGCCTCAAATGCAACATGATGGAATACAGGCATCATTCAGAATCGCTTTCAAAAACAAAACCGGCCATGGCCCGCCGCCGCGTACTTCTCGCTGTCAGAACAAGGTCATCGTCATCCTCTTCCTCATTGTCACTAGCACCGCTCTCTTTCTCGTTGTCCGGTATGGCCCCCTTCAGCATCTGATCAACTCCGGCGCTCCAAGGCAATTCCACACTCGGAGATCTCATAGGCATGGGATCAATATCAGGGGTCGGCGTCGAGGAGCCTCGAGACGAAGGAGATCCGGAATCGACACCATCTTCGTCCGCACTGTCGGACTCACCTCCAGCTTCGTCGCGTCGGCGTTTCGACGGGATATTCGCATCATCTTCAATATCTGACTCGGGTATTGAGTTCGCTTTGCGCTTCCGGCTAGCTTTGGGTTTTGTTTGTTTCTGGGGCACACTATTCTCCAAAACGCCTGTTTCCAAAGCTTTTTGGATACGCGCAGCTTGTGCCAGTCTCCGTTCATTTTCTTTTGCAAAGAAGCGAGCGTCCGCTTCTTCGTCCGTTTCGTCGTCGCTCGGGCGAACGTAAAGATCACTTTTAATCTTTCTTTGGCGTTCTAGAGCATTGCGTTTCCTGGCTGCTTGTCGAGCCTCCAGCTCTGCATCGTCTAGGCCACTTTCGTTATCATCGCCATCCTTTCTTTTCCTTCTCGTGAGCTTCCGCCCTTTCGCCGCCTTCGACCTTTGAACAAGGTTCGGTGGAAACAGAATCTCATCTTCTCCTTCCGAATCACTTCCAAAATGAACGCTTTCAATGGACTCATGGTGGGAAGCCTTCAGATCGGCCGTCGTCCGCTTTCGGCGTATTAGATCCCGTGGATCTGCACCGTCGATATCCTCTACCGGATTTTCACAGTGCTTTTCGATTAATGTACTGGATTCTTTCAGCGTAGACGATGAGATTGAGGACGAGATTATCCACGAAGCGCTGAGCTCATCTTCATCAAAACATTTGAAACCGGCCAGCGTCATTAAAAGACGTAGTCGCCCATTCCTAAACATGGCGTCGCGGCAGTCATCATCTTCCGGCACAACAGCTATTTGCCCATTAGTTAAAAAGAAGCATAAATAATATCCAAAACGAAATCATACCAATCGAGGGAGGTTTTGCTTCTGCCTGCTCCTCAGTAGATGAAGCAGCTCTAGCCTCGGCTTCCATTTCCCAACTCTGTCTCTCGCTGATAGCTGAATCTAGAACTCCACCTAGCCACTTCACCAGTGGCAGTTTATCATCTTGAATCAAAGCAGCCACTACAATTCTGATCTTCTCATCCAGCGTCGAAGCGCTGCCAGGTTTGATCTCCAGCTCAGCCGCTGGCTTAGATTCCGACAGACTTTGTTTCTCATAACCGTACTCCAGATAGAACAAGGTGGAGTTGATCTTGCTAAACAACAACTCAACAACCAACTCGGGACGCTGTTTAAGCTTCCTAACTAGATTTCGGAACAAATGACGGACAAGCTCTTCCCATTCCTTGAAAGAGGATTTCGATGCATCAAGCCCTTCAGGACCCTTGATCATTTTGAACAGTAGCGAAATGATATCTAAGCGGAAGAGTAAAATACCCCTGTCTTGTTTAAATGCAACCCTGTGGAGAAAACGATGCGCTCGCTTCAGCTGCTCCGAATCTAATTCTCGGTAGTAGTTGGTGAAGGCGACGAAGGTATCCACGGACTTTTGTGTGCAGAATTTGAGAGAGAATCGCTTAAAGTCGAAAGATCGTTCGACTGCTGTGCGATTTGCTTCTGCTCGGTCTTCAGCCTCTGAGCCGTGCCCGCCGTCTTCCTCGACGCCGTCTTGATCCGGCGCCGTTGTCTGGGTCTTCTTCCGGCGACCTCGTCTCCGTGACCGAACTTGCATATCGACATTCTGTTTGGAGTACTGCTCAAGCATTCGAAGAAAGACATGTGCAAGTTCTGTGCACGCGTCGAGGTACCAAAAACCCTGATCGTTATAGTTTCGCAGGATAACCAATATCCGATCATGTGTGGTTTCCTCATAAAATATCCGGTTTTGGATGTTTTCTGCGATTTCCTGGTCTTCTTCAAGGGTTGATATTGCCATTTCTTGAACTGTTAGAAGAATCTGGGTGAAACACTTCATGCCAGCTGTGAGATCCTGCCAATCTTTATAATCGAGACAGTGTTGCATATATCTATTCAGATTCACAAATGTCTCTTGATTGAGGACACTTGCCACAAGAGAGAAGTCATCCGGCTCTATGTCCTTTGCTCTCCCTCTAGCTTGTTGGCGAGCTTCCTTTTGGTGCTCTCGACGAACCCGTTCCGCGTGCAGAAACCATGACACCACATACCAGAATTGTCGAGAAGTTGATTCAGTGATGCGCTCCGCCTCACGTTCAATTGCTTTCCGCAAGTGAGTAAATAACGGGTTAAATCCGGAGTCAAGAAATTCTTCGACGAAAGTTTGCAAGTTCTTCGACGCTGATGGGGTGAGCATAACTTTGACATTGAAATTGTTTGAGGACGGATCTACAACCTCCCTTTTGAACCTAGGCTTATTCCACTTTTTGCTCTTATCCATTTTCAAAAGAGTTGCTCTGTCGCCCTTCAACACGTCTTGTCCAGATACGGTAGAAAATTTCTCATCATCTCTTTTGACCCAAATCATCGTACCAAATCGACCGTGCCGGGTTGGTGCAGTTTTGGCATGTTCCCGATTCAACTCGGACTCTTTTTGCAACAAGCTTTCCAACTCATTTGCTTTCGTAATACCGGCCCGTTCAGCCGGTTTGAACAGTTGTTTAACATCGACACCCTTGACCAAGTTGAACAGAATCTCAAGGATAATTACGTCCTGAAACGTAAAGTCTTCTCCCATAGTGGAGCACATCGTCAACAAAAGAGCAAATATATCTTGCTGCTGGAAGGCGTCGATCGTAGCGGACCTCGTAGCTTTGTCGTCGTCTCCATCAACGGTTAGGTTGGTCGGCGAAGTGAGGACAGCAATATTTCGAAAAAAGTACAACATCAACTTAATAATTCCTTCGTCTCTAGTAGACCTTTCGGATCTGGGCGTGGCCATGCTCGGTAAGCCAACCCTGACAATTGCACGGAGAATGGGAGACGGGTTGAACCCAAGAATTCCCCGTTTATATTCGACTTGCGAGTACTGAAGATATGATGTGTGCCTATGATGATTTGCTGTCATCTGCCCATGGATTTCGATCGGCCATGTCAAGGGAACAAGTAATTCCACTACAAGTCATACTGGTGGTTAGGAAAGAAAATATTTGAGCGAAATGATTCTCTTAAGAGCACTACTCACAACAAGCCAACATAATCCGCGCCTTGTGCTTATCACTCTGTTCAAACTCCCCGCACAGCGATATAATGGGCATCAAGTCACCGATGACAAGCTTGCTTTCCGCCAGGCATCTGGCAACGTCCAGGCGATTTAGCTTCTCGTCGTAGAATCGCAGCCATTTTTTGAGATCACGAAGACATCCCAGGGCATCATCTCCAAGTACATAGCGGCCCGACTCATCCCCCGCAGTGCCACCAAGCTAATATACGTTAGCATGGAATCGAGGAAATCCTAGAGTATAGAATTGACCGACCGCGGTGACAAGACCGTAGACATAAGATCGCACTTCGGGATCGACCACCTCTGCGGGCGGAGGTGGCTCAATCTCCATTGTCCCACTGGATAACTGCATAATCAGCGCAGACGGCCCCGGTCCTCAGCCTCTCATGGCACCAGGTACGTGTCAACGAGTGTGTCCGCATCGACCGTCCCGCCGTCAACTTCGAGTCGCGACGTTGAGGTTTGACGCGTTTGCCGACGCGTCTTAATAAGCAGATGACTAAGACGCTATTACCTAATCTTCGATCGGAGCGAAACGCCGAAGTTAACCGACCGCCGGGCCAATGACGTGACGGCACATGCCTTCCGCTTGGCCGCGGTTGATCCTCGACTTGAAGACATTTTGCGGACGAAAGACCCAAACAACAGCTTGAACTCGCAACTCGACGAACCCGGCTTCCTGCTCTCACAACACCTAGCAATGTTCCGCACAGCAGTTACCAAGGGCCTCGCGGCGGGCATCCCGTCAATTGGCACCAGAGCTTTCAGCACTTCTCCCGCCGCGCAGGCTGCGGCGGAGGTCAACAAGGTGGCCGTGATTGGCGCCGGACAGATGGTAATCAGCTGTGCTTCCTTTTCTGATCCCCTGTTGATGGACGTGTATCCTGATGTTATCGATAGGGCTTGGGAATTGCCCTGGTTGCTGCTCAAAAAGCCGGCGTCCCTGTCACGTTGGTCGATAGCAATCAAGCATCTTTAGATAAGGGCCTCAAGTTCGCCGGTATGTGCTTCTGAGCAAACTCCACGCTTCCAGTCCGGAGATGGCTTTGCTGAATGCAGCGTGCAGATAAACTCCTCGAGAAAGATGTGGCCAAGGAGCGCATCACAAAGGACGCTGCGGCAAAGATCCGCTCCATGATCACACCCACCACCAAGCTCGAAGACGTCTCGGACGTAGACTTTGTCATCGAGGCCGTTCCCGAGATCCCCGATCTCAAAGCATCCATCTTCTCCAAACTCGCGCAGGTCGCTCCCAAGCACGCCATCCTCGCGACCAACACCTCTTCCATCTCAATTACCAAAATCGCCGCCTCCACCACCACAGACCCAAGAGACCTCTCAAACTCCTCGCGCGTTATCTCAACCCATTTCATGAACCCCGTGCCCGTCCAAAAGGGTGTCGAGATCATCACCGGCCTGCAGACCTCGCAAGACACCATCGACACCGCTCTCGAATTCGTCAAGCGCATGGGCAAGATCCCCGCTCGCTCCACTGACTCTCCTGGATTCCTGGCGAACCGCATTCTCATGCCTTATATCAACGAGGCGATTTCGTGCTTGGAGAACGGGATTGGAACCCGTGAGGACATTGACAGCATCATGAAGTATGGAACGAATGTGCCCATGGGGCCGCTGACCTTGGCGGATTTCATTGGAATTGATACCTGCCTTGCGATTATGAATGTTTTGCACCAGGAGACTGGTGATAGCAAGTATCGGCCTGCAGGTTTGCTGAAGAAGATGGTTGATGCCGGGTGGTTGGGGAAGAAGACCGGAAAGGGATTTTATGACTATTAAAAGGGGAGTTTGGATTTAAAAAGCGGTTTTAAAATACAGGCTTGTGTATATAGATCAATTGGTGCAAATAACAGAGGCGGTGCTGTATTGGCATATAGCCTCAACGGGGGGTCCATTACTTTTTATGTCGTCCAGTTTCCAGTTCAAGTTGATCTAACTGAAAATAGGACTGGGAATGCTTTGAGACGAACGGAGCGGGGGGTTTGAATCTTTGAATAGATCATTATATATATCATATTCTCACATCTCATATCAACATCCTTCAGGTCATCAAACATGCCTTTGTCTGCGATCCACTATAATTGCATTAGACTGAAGGAGAGTATCGTCATAACTTCAATGCACACCCTGTCCTCCTAATGCAAAACCATCATCAACAATATATGCCCCTCCCCTGCAAAATGTGAAAGCGTATACATATTATCGAAGTTTGGGACTGGGAATAAAGAGAAAAGAAAAGTATGGATTGGGGTATACAACTCAACAAGACGAACCCAAAAAAAAAAAAAGGGGGTGTGTGTGAGAGAGAGAGAGAGAGAACGGAGGAAAGTAAAAAGCTAGGATGAGTTGACCATGGCAAAGTAGATGAAGCCCATTAGAAGTATCAAAGGTCCAGGCATCAAAATGGTAAATGTGAATAGGGGAAACAAATGTAGGTCATGTCCAACCTAGCCACTTAGAACAGCAAACGCAGACCGATTCACCCGCCGATTGCGAGCATTCGCCGTAATCATCTCCTTCAAAGACATTTTCTCTTGTTTTGGCTTTGGCGCAGGGTCAATGGCCGGAGCGGCTATGGGCGTTGGCGGTGGACGCGGTGACTCTGGGCGTCGGGGGAGTACGAGGATCGGTGTTCGAGGCGAACCTGGAGTAGGAGGTGGAAGCATTGTTGGCGGAGGAGGGAGTGGGTAAGCGGGAGGTGGTGAAGGTGGCTTCGAGTGCTTCAAAGCGCGCCGTTGGTTGGGACGGCGTTCGCTGGTGGTGTTTTCACCGCGGACGAGGCGCTGGCGATGGAGCTCGAGCAGATCTGCGCGTTTCTTCGTCACGGCTTGAAACCAGTGGCGGTCAATCGTGATATCCTGCGCCAGTATTTGGCGGTTTGCAACGCTTGGGCAAGCAAGCTGAGACTCCTTCGCCAGGCCGGCTTCGAGCGAGCTGGCTTCTATGCTCGCTGTATGTTCCAGTTCTTCCATCGCTTCCTTGTGCGTCTTTTGCAGGGAAGCGAGTTCTCTGTCCTGTGCGGCTTTGAGTTTGTCCATTATTGATCTCTCGCGCTCTTCTCGATTAGGCCTATTCTTCAAATGCCTTGATATACTGATGAAAGTCTCGTCCTCTTCATCCTCGTGTTTCGAGGTCATTTCTGCGATCTCGGTCTCGTGCGTGGCGGAAAGCGCATCAGTACGCTTCTTCACATTCGACTGGAGAGCCAGCTCGAGCCGCTGCCGCTTTTCATCGAATTGTTTCTTCTCATCTTGAATCTTCGAGTGTAGCAGAAGCGCATCTGTCTCATGCCTCATATTCAGCATCTTTTGCTGCGATTCATTAATCCGGTCCAAGGTCAAGCGCAGATTACGTATTAGTTCGGCTATCGCCATCAGTCGTTGCGCTTCTCTTTCGCGCGCCTCCTCTTCCTCCCTCCGTCGTCTCGCCTCTTCCGCCCGTGCTCGCTCTGCTTCCTGGCGAGCCCTTTCCTCAGCCTCACGCTCCTCGCGACGGATCCGCTCTTCTGTTTCAAGTTGCTCCAGGCGCTCAATTTCGGCGATGGCATCTGCCAGTTCCTGGGCCTCTCTCTGAGCGTGGTCAAATGTTTCGAGACGTCGTGCTAGGAGATGTTCCTCCCGTCGTCGCTGGTCTTCTTCCGTGCACGAGCATGTGCGCCATACCGCGCCACAGGTGTAGCTATGTCAAGGTCAGTGTATTGAGCCGTGGGACATAAACGACTTGCGGGCTTGGAGGTGTGTACATACCAGAAGTGCGCACCACATTTGCAAGTCATATGACGACAGCCGGCAACTAACTCAACCATCGCACGGCACTGATAACAGCGTCTCCAACCGTGCCTTTCGGCCTCGTGAAGTGTGGCTTCCAGCCCTGCATCTTTGGGGCAATCTGCCCGGCTTATATGGGTAGGTCCGCGGCAGAAACCGCAGATTTTAAACTTGCAGAATGGGCATTTCTGCACCGCAGCCGATTTTTTGAGTTTCTTTGGGGCAATCCATTTCCCACAAGCGTTTGACGGGCAGTACCATCGATCCTGCTGTGGGATTGCATATTCCACCGCTTTCTCTTTATAAAGATCCCTATTCGGGTTCTCCAAGTTGTGGAGGATCATCTTAGCAGGGATCTCTAAGAGGCAGCATTTTGGCGGAAACTGATTTTCGTTGTGGATTGCCGTAGTGACCAAAGTAATAAAGCAGGCCAAGCAGTATCGATGTTGACAGTCGAGGCGAAGTAGGTTCTTTTCGATGATGCCCTCCATGCAGCTGGCGCATTCCCTGCAGATCAATACGGTTAGTAAAGCTTTAGCATAGGCGTGGAGTGGAAGCCGTATCGAACTCACTGGAGCACATATTTCCCTTTTATTGAAGCCGAAATTGCCCGCACTTCTTTTGGCGCTTTGGCGGAGAGCTTTCCAATCGTAGATTTCGTCGACACTCCATCCTTGGAAAGGGTGGAGCTCCGCGTGGAAAGGCTTGTAGACGAACGGGCGATTGGAGAAGCCGCATCGTTCCTCGGTGCGTCGCTTGGGCCCGCTGGCGGCGGCGCAACAGGTGATGACGGAAGTCCGGGAGACTCGAAGCCAACCAGCTCTTTCTCGTCTTCACGCGCTTGGTATATCTCGGCAGTTACGGACAGATTCAGGATTCGAACAAGGTCCGCGGGCGTCGTCTGTGGGAAATCATGGAGTTCCGGCGGGCACGGGTGCTCCATCCAATTTGCGGGCGGTTCATTGTCGAGGCCAGTGTCCCTGAATCCCTCCAAGTCGGGCCAGTTGAGTAGCGGCCGCACGGTATCAGATTGATCAGGTAGGGATCTGGTCGTGTTCCCCGGATGGGCAACATCCGTGAGTATCGAAACAGACATGGTCGATTTCGCAGCTGGGTTAGACATTCAAGGCCTCAAGGAAGACGGCCCATTCTCAACGGACCTCTGTCTCACTGCTGTTCAAGAATACGCCTTTCCTGGACTCTGGAGGTGGCAAAGGCCATGACCATCGCCCACGCAACACTGGATGAATGGGCACACAGACAGAGAGAGAGAGAGAGAGAGAGAGAGAGAGAGAGAGAGAGAAGAGGATATCTTGGAGAGCAGAGAATGTCCAAGAGACTCGAGAAGAACACCGGGGGGGACCCGATGCCCAATAATAGAGAAACCCAAGCGACGAATCCATCATGGAGCCGCAGGTACCTTTGATGCATGACCCGCGCAGGGGAGCCAGTCCGCCACCGGACGCTGGGATGGAGGGCACAAAGCAGGCCTGGCCGTCAAAGAAAAGCCTCCCGCATCAAAGAGACTCCCGCATCGTCCTGCAGGGAATTCTGTGGTTGGATGGCACAGCCCGGTAAATGCCTCAATGCGAAGCGCCAAAGCGACCCTTGTGAGCGCGCTGCGATGCGCCATGCACGTGTGCGTTGAAGTGGTGAATCTGCTGCTGTTGCCGGCGAGTGGACCGCTCGCCCCCGCCAGCTAGTATGAGGGATGCTGTGCTATTAAGAGCAATGGCCCCGGTCCACGATGGGGGGCCTGGGAAGGGCTTGCGGAGAATTCGAGGCCAGGAGACTGCCGGGATACGAAGTCACCGCGAGGCTCACCAGCACAGACAAGGGCTGCTCGAGCCATTCAGGAGTCCCGCTTGCTCTTATTTGACGACGGGATACATCGTCTCGCTTGTATTCAGATGAACCCGATCGAATTCCGGATTATGGTGGCTTGGAACCGCCTCTGCTGAAACTGTGGGCAGTGATCGTATTGACACTCAAGTGACAAGGCGTCCTTGCACTCATCTTGTCGACGCATGCTTTACATAGCACAGAACGATGTTATTTCAAGCAAGGTGGGTATCTTGACAAGGCATTTTATACATGCAGCATATCGCAAATGCAGACCAAAAAATAAAAAAGATCAAAACTCCAATCTAAAAATATTTCGTCAACCTGAACTCCTGGTCCATGCTCCTTGAATGCTGCCCTCAATAATATCCAGAACACCATTAAACCACCCCGGAAAACCTTTTTCCCACCCAGGCAGATCCATATTCCTGGTACTGTTGCCGGGTGATTGCAATCTCCTGCAGCGCATCTCGGTTAGCGGCAAGGCGGGAGGCTCCAAGCCACGTTGATCGGACGGGGCTATTCAAGAGGAAGTATTAGCAAACTATGCGGGGAGCCATCGTGAAGGGTGAAGATGAGAACGTACTCGGGTGCCCTTCTGACTCGAACAACGCACTCGACCGACGCGAGTTGTCGAAGCTCAGACTCCCTACACACGAAACGTCAGCCTAGTTAGAAGCTCAGCAACCGAGAATTATACTGACAGCCTCTCAACCAGCCCAGGAATTAAGGCGTTGCCCCCGACCACGAGCACGTTGGCGAGAAAGGCTGGGTGTAGGCCCGTAGGCAGTGTGGAGAGGCTCTGCATGATAGCTTCGGGGATTCCCGGCTGCTTCATGCCGACATCATCAGGGCGGAACAAGACCTCAGGCACCGCGAAGCGTTCATTCCCCAGGACAAGCAGCTCCTCACTAACAGAAGGCCGAGGACCCGAGAGAAGGTCCTTTCGTTTCTTCGCCGCGAGGAGCGGGTCATGTGGCCGCATGAATCCCTTCGTGCCAGCATTTGGATCCGGAAGAACATAGTCTACCACGATACCGTCCACGGCGCCATCCCTCCCACCGGTTTTGTTGCCTTGTTTGACCCGCTCGAGATCCCCTTCAAAGTCATTGCTCACGTAGGACACTGCCTCCTTGACCCCGTTCATCACGTACGTCTCATCTAGCACATTGTATCGACGGATGGAAATGAGTTCCTTGAGATAATTGGTCAGAAATTTCCCCCCGATTTCTAGCCGTCGTATTGCGCGCTGGAGAGGTCGTCCTCGATAGACCGGCGTAATCGTTGTATGAGAATAGCCCGAATCAACCACCAGTAGACACTCAACCGGAGACGCACTGGGCCCACCATCCTTCGCGACTGGGGTCACCGAACAAGGAGTGCACCTCATTCCACGCATTCAACGGCGGACCTAGCACCATCCCCTCATTTCAGCATCTCCGCGCGCAACTTCATCACATTTCCAAGGGCCACCTACCAATGCACCGTAGATACCCGCCAAACCCCCACTCCTCCATGATAATCTCATCTGCATTCTTCTGTAACGCAGCCATCGCATTCGGCGCCTCTGTCAAGATCAACGTTGTATCTCCCGGCTCCGCACACCTCACCTCCGGCCTCCGCGGAACCTTTTCGTCGAAAAAGCTATGCTCCCATATCTCCCTCTGCGCCTCCCAGCTCACTATGTACCCTTTCTCCACCGGCCGGCGGAAATTCGCCTCGTTCCAGTCCGTGATGTGCGTGTTGAGCTGCGCGCCGACGTAGACTCTTTTATCGCGGGCTTTGACCAGCGCATTCGGAATTATTGAGCATGGTGCCAATGGGTCGGAGGGAGTGTCTTCGGAGCTTGTAGAGGCGTAACCCGCTTTCATGGTGTACGCGCCATTGTCGATGATGAAGGTTTTGGCGGGCAGAGATTGAGGAGCTGCCGGTGCAGGCTTCGCGCCGCGAGGAGCTTTGGCGGGTGCCATTTTTCGCAAATCATCAGCTCGCCGTGCGCATTTCCAGCAGATTCACTGATACAGACCCGTCAGATAGGTCGGATCCGGAGAAATGATTGTCCACCAATATGGTTTTGATCAACTGCGCGGTTCTTTCTTCAAGCATCGCAGATCCATCTACACAGCAGCTCATCTCAAACGACTTTGGTGTAGTCACGCATGGATCTTCTACGACAGGAGCGTCGATCATGGGTTTAACTAGTTACGGAATATGGCAAACAAAACGAATGATTTCCTTCAGAAGTTGTTCTTTCAATTGTTCACGCCACGGCTGCGGGAAAGCCTCCCTCTTGAATGAAACTCCCTGGCCTCATTCCAAGTACTTCTTGATCATCATCGTTCAGCTTTTCGACGAGTTCAAAACCTTCATCTGCATTGACGATCCCCCGTTTTGCGTCTCTGACGGGGTTTAGCAAATGATTGCAACCAGCCAGGCGAAGGCTGGGTGTCCCTGCGCAGTAGTTACCGAATTCGCGGATGCGCCGCAGGACGAGAGACGTTTTGCAGGCGGGGATCGAGATCGACAACAATGCGGGGTGTTCTGGTCGATGCTTCCGGCGTTGGCATTGCAGGTCTTCGTGCATCGGATCCGCACTCTGTTGCAGCTGAGATGGTCAATGAACTCGTTTGATCCGCAGTGAGAATTGCATCGGTTAGGCGGCAGTCCGTCGGTCTGTTGTCGTTGAGTAGTTACTACATACGGAGTGCTTCTGCTTTGGTTAGTTAACTATATCGCAACTGCATCTTCACCGAGGGCGTCGCTGATTCCACAAGATATCAATTGGCGAATTCTAACTAGCCATCTGTGCTTTATTCGTTCTAGGCTAGTAAGACAGGAATTCATAGCCGTAGATAATTGTCTACTCCGTGCTCTGTATGGAGTTTATATTCCACCGACCAGTCACGTGAGACACCCAGGCCCAGAATCTTCCGCCAAAATGCCAACATGAACGCCAGCATTCAACGACGCGCAGATCCAATATGGCGGCAAGACTACATATGGTCTTGGAGACCACTATAGCGCTCTCAGAGCAATTTAACCTGGCTCTTTCTTCTCCAGCTGCCGCTGATTCCACGTCTTCCGCCCCCGACCACCAGCCTTCCCCGCTACCCCTCCTCTCCGCGTCCGCTCAGAACCTCAAGGCGCAAACCGCGAAGTTGTCACTGCTCGCTATCAACACTCCGTTCACCCCGTCTGCCCTAGTCACTGTACTTTCAAACATAAACGATTCTGTGCTCCCATCCCTCGTCACCGCGACATTAATTTCTACCCCGGAAAAATACACTCGGACCTTTCGCCGCGAAGCGGAGGCGCTGGTTAAAGACGCGTTGCGGGAATTAACCGCTCTAGTCCATGATATCCAGCTTATTGCGACAAATTATGATAAAAAGCAAGGGTTTAAGTTGAGCGATGAGGAGAAAAATGAGGTTACCATTGCGACGGGGAGAGTCTGGAGTGTGTGCGATCAGGTCGTCGATCTTGTGGCGGGCGGGGTCGTCGGTTTAGTTATCAAGAAAGCGAAGGAGTATTTGGAATTGATTCAAGACGGCCTACGAGAATTGAAGGAGTGGGACCCAGAAGATGACTTGGATGATGACGATGGGCTGTGGGGAGACGAATTTGGCAGCCAGGACGACTCGGGGCCAAACCGTGGTACACTCGAAAAGAGCGCAGTCATTGAAAATGGCGATGGCGATGAGGAAACTGAGGATGAAGACTCGGGAAACCAACGCGTCAAGCTCGATGAGGAAAAGAAATATCTTCTCCGCCTGTTCACGCTGACCTCCCAGTTATTTTCGGCCATCATATCCTACCGCCTCAAAAAGATGGACGAAACACTTATTCTTGCCGGATCGTCGAATAGGCTTGACGCTCTCACGTCTTGCTTGCAGGACCTGCCGAGCCTCGTGGATGAGGCCGCCGGGTCGTTGTATGAGCATAACATAGAATTCGCTGATGCGTATAGCCTAAAGCTGCGCGATCGGGCCTCCGAAGCTGCGGAGATGCTATGTGAGCCTTGGGTACAAGGAGATATGAGCGACACGTCAAAACAGGGCGATGCGCCTAAAGGGACGGAAGACAAATTCTCGAAATGGGCGGCCGTGTTCTTAAGAGTAGTGGAAGATCTTGGGAAGGACAAGGAACAATAGTTCAACTTGAATGCTCTCTAAACGAGTATGATGTCCGGTAGTTATGGCATTATTATATCGCCCCACGAACTGCTTACCGCGCGACGTGCTATCAAATCAAGCTACGAAATACTGTCACTCACTCAAAATATCTATCTCACCCGATGATTTTCGGGGCTAAGATTGTAACCAGCTCTTCCTGCGCAGCCGGTACGGAAAACTATCACGGTGTCTAAAATTCCCAGTATGTCACGATAGCTATCTGGTCTAATATATATAAAAGAAGTCTAAATAAAGTACAGATCGATTTAAATATCGAAAATGGCACCCTGGGGCCGCATCGCAGGACAAGGTAAAAATTGCACCAAATTCTCTCTGTATCACACATCCTCACTCTCGCCTTGCCACTCCTTCATCTCATCCGCCGTGATATGATTCTTCAGCCAATCCAAAACTGCTTCAGTCCCTTTCGCCACAATCTGCCATTTGGGAACACGGAAACTGTTGCCAGCGACATCCAGTCTTCTCAAGCCACCGCTATCTTCGATTCCGAGAAGTCCAATCCGGGGCGGTAGAGAGCTGATGTCGTTGTTGCTCACATCGAGTGCCTGGAGTCCCTGGACAGCCTCAAAAGACAAGGAGTTTATTTGATTGTCGGACGCTAGGAATGTGATGAGGTTCGGGTAGGTAGAGCGCATTACCGGAAGTGCGCCGCTCAATCGATTATTAGAGACGTCTAGGAATCTAAGTAGCGGCGCAGAGAGGAATAATTGAAGCGATTCAAAGGAGGTGAGCCCAACGGCCGTCAACGTGAGGTTTTGTAGATGTGGAAGCTCGATGCGGCTTGTCAATAGACGGCCGTCTTTCATAGGGTTGTGGGAAAGATCCAAATCAGTCAGTGAGTGGGAAAGGAGCGAGAGTGCCGCTACAGGTAGACTGTCAAATTGGTTATGTTGAAGATAAAGACAACGAATATCTGAACTGGAAAGCAATGGCTCCAGGTCCTCAATCTCCAAACGTGAAAGTGCGGTGGACGATCGATCCAGGACTCCACCAGTCTTTACTTGCCACGCATGGGGATTATCTGGCGTTTCTGGTGCCAGCGTGAATTCGGTATGATCTGAAAGCTCCCCATCCTCGCAGTCCTCGAGTTCGGGTGCGCACCTACTGCGAAGTTCTCGCTTGAGCGCTTCAGTATCCATAGTAAGCAATTTTCGTTCCCGAAGGGGATTGTTTTCGATATTAAAAGTCATCAGATTGTCTAGCAAGCCAATGGCATCATCAAGAGCAGTAATGGCATTGCCTTTGAGATCCACATGTCTCAAGCCAGTTAGTTCGGAAAGGCCTCCCGGAACCTGGGTCAAGTCATTATCCTCCATAACCAAGGTGAGAAGACATGTCCATGAAGAGACGTTGGGTAGGGACTTGATACGATTTGCATCCGCAAACAATTGCTGTAAACTCGGAAGTTCAAGGCTATCCCCTGCATAAAAACCATCTAGTGAATTTCCGGACACGTTCAAGATTTGAAGTCCTTCGATCCGACGAATGGATGCCGGGATAAGGTTGCCCTGTAGTCGGTTTTTCTGGGCACTGATTTCAACAAGTGGGAGTTTGGACATGGCGCTGAATGGAAGAGACGTTAACTGGTTTTCCGCAACATTCAAAATTCGCAGCGCAGTCAAGTCTGAAAGATTGTCAGGAAGTCCCGTGAGAGTATTCCCGCGAAGGTCTAGAGTTTCGAGCTTCTGGAGAGACCCAAGTTGAGGCGTCAACATGCCTTCCAGGTCATTGTTACCCAGTTTTAACTCTGTAAGAGATGGTATTTGAGTGATAACTTCAATAGCGTCCATATTGAGCCGGTTTTTCGCCAGATTAAGGGAATGGAGACGCTGGAGTCTTCTCAACCCGATTGGAAGGCTAGTAAGAATGTTTCCATGTAGGTCTAGCAACTCTAGCCCACCGAACTGATTGCCCTTGCTGTCTTCATCCATGCTCAAAGAAGATATGTCAATGTCAGGAAAGGCATCTTCTGAGAGAGATTCAAATTCGTTATCGGCAGCTATGAACTTGATCAAGTCCACGGTCTCGTACCAATCTTCAGTGCTTTCGGGGTCATATTCGTACATCGTCATGACTTCAGGAGGGATTTCCCGTAGGCTCAGAGCTGCAATATTCAAATGGCCAGATTTTCGGGCAGCTGCAGTTCTACTTTTCAGAACCGCTTTATTGGACGCCTGGTTTTGCAGTGCGCCGAAGGGGTCCTTCATTGATATATTCTCAAAAGGGTCATTGTGCCCATCGTTTGCATTGCTTTGTCTTGCAGTCTTGCGAGCCGCTTTTGCTTTTGCAATGCTCTCTCTCAAGGCGCTTGATGATTTAGACCCCTTTTTAACTTCCTGGGGTTTACTGGTCGTCTCTGAGAAGTTACTGTCAGAAGTGACTGAAGTACCTTGTGACATTTTGGAAACACTGGACGTTGGCGAAGTTAGACTAGAAGAGCGTCCAGAGGAAAACTTTTGAGATTGGGGCTTCTTAAGTTTTGGGACATCTTTCAACCCAGTAGATCCTTTCGTTTCAGGGGTCGGGTGGCTGATATTAGGAGCCAGTGATCTTCGCGACCTTGAACTTCGAAGAGTCGTGGTTTTACTTTCGCCTTGGGTTGAACTACGAGGTGTACCCGAAGTTGGCTTTGATGAGGGAACCGCAGGCACGCCATTATGGCCACTCTCGCTAGCCTTCCTAGAAGAAGGGGCACTAGGGGCCCCGCGAGGTTTGGTCGCTGATTGCTTTGCTGGCGTAGCTCGAGAAGGTGTAGCGGATAAAGATGCCCGAGGCGCCGCATGCCTAGATGTTGAAGTGAACTGCGAGGGCGATGGTTGATGTATCTCGGAAATAGGCCGGGACGGGGAGCGCACTGGACTTGATGGCCTGAAGAAGCCAGATTGCCTCCTGCTTGGAGACGGAGATGAAGGAATCTGCGACAAAGTCTCGACGGTTCTCGCCTCCAAAGAAGGTCCTAGTCCAGCAATCGAGAGATCCAAGCCCCTGCGAGCGGAGAGACAATCTGTGGATGCGGCGGCCCTAATGGAACGACCCCCTTGCGAAGTCCTTCGCTGCAGGTATAGATTGTCGGATATTTTGCGGGCTGGGGGGGGAGGGAGATGCGGCTTTTTGAAAACATCTTCGGAGGGCCTGCGGAGTCGCGAAACATTCAGTCCCTGATCTGCTTGTAGTCTCTCTCTGGATGGAGAGGGTCGTACTGCTTTGGGGCCTGTCGTTGTTGGCAATGGAAGTCTTGATAGGCGTGGGATACCGCTTGGAGGCCGTTTTGCCGGCTCCTCCGCCATGGTTGAGTGAGACGCGAACCACCGGGAACAAAAGTGTAATTAGAACTGGAGGCGAGGGCAACAGACGATGAGCAAGGCTTGCTTGTCCCGCGAGGTCTTTCATCCCATAATAAGTCGTTGATGCAATAATACTGCCCGCGCTGTCCGCCCGTCTTTTGGTCGCAGCTCCTGGATTCAGGGGTTCAAAGAGCTTTCTGCATTCGGCAGTTTGGTTTGTTTACACTTCATGACTAAGCAACAGCCCCCAACCGCAGCGCTAACCGCATTCAGCCTAGACGCGGCGCCGCGTGACCTGCGCGCTTACGAGTTGCGCCGCCCAGCCTCCTCTCGTCGCCGGCCACCTGGACAACCACCGCATCCGCCATCACTCACTCACTCCGCCCATCGCCATCAACCCAACCTCGTCCCGCTTCATCCGCCACCCTTCTCCCAGCCTTTGTCCTGGGCGTTTTCCTTCCTCTCGCTCCATTATCCGTTCTCAACTACGCCCTTTATTCTGGGTGCCTCGGGTCTGGTTGTTTGTGCCTTTGGACTCGAAGCACTGTTTACTCTTCTCCGAGTCATCTTCCCACAATCACATTGTTATCCTACCTCGCCTAATCCATTCGCGGAGTCCTAGTTGTCTATCCTCGCAATTGAATTTCCCCATCTAAACGCTTTTGACCTGAATCTTGAAAATATTTGAGCTCCCAGTTCTCTTGAACGCCCGTCGCAATCTGGCTCGATCTATACAAGAAAGTGACAACTTTAGAAATATATCTGCTTTGGAACTTGCGAGATTCTATTGTCAACTCTTACCATTTTCTTCGCGACCATGAATGATGACTCTAGTCACAAACAGGCATCTCTAGAACCTGCCGCAGAGATCGCCGTCCCGAGTACTCCAATCCCGTCTCGCAGCAGCCCATCGACATCTCCTGATGAGCAATCACTTCCAATGGATGTATTGGAAAGGAATAGGTTTACCTCTCCTCCTTTACCGGCCTCATCATCCGACATGACACCACCGCCCTCCCAGAATGTTCCCCATGTGTCCACACCGTTCCAACCCCGTTCCAAGTCCAACTCCTTTCTCGCCTCGCCCCCTGCAACCGTGAATCAAACTCTCTGTGTCGCGTACGGCGCGTCGGAAAGCCTACCAAGTTCTACGGAAATTGATGACGCGAACGATGAAACCCTTCGAAGTATGGCCAAGGAACTTTTGATGGTGGCTCAAGAATCACGCATGTCGGCCGCGCACTTTAAGCTTCAACATAGTCTACTATCTCTGACTAGCAGTGAGGCCATCAAACGCGCTGAGGTTGAGCAGCAACTTGCCAAACGACAAATCGAAATTCTTCAAAGTATGGAATACCGTTCCCGTCAAACCCAATTGCAACAGCCATCGCCTCAGCCGCAGCGGAACGCTGAGTTAGACGCTGCGATGCGTCGAATTCAGGAGCTAGAACAGGCAAAGGGAACTCTGGAAAGGAGGCTTCGCCGTGCTAAAAAGGTCATCGAGGAAGACGCCGACAAGTATGAACTCCTGATGGAGGAAAATGCTCGTCTCAAAAAGCGCATTCGGGAAAATCGTGAGCACTTTACCCTCATGATGGACCATGGGTCCGTTGCCTCAAGCCCGCGTACGGAGTTCAATACACCCCAGCGCAGAGCCGTTCCCCGTTATCCCGATAGCGCTCGTTCCCATGTTAGCAGAGTTGGCAGCCATGATCCCTTCGCGGCTCTCCTTGCCGCTGACCAGGTACTCAATGGAGAATCAGCAACAATTAAATCACCCCCATCAAAGAGACACAACCACAAGTTTCAAGGCCACACCCGCGGTACCCACTCGCTTTCCTCGCTGCCGACGACCCCCCAACGAAAGCCCGTTGGCAGTGAAAGAATTCATTTCTTTACGCCTATCAATAAACGATCCACAGGCCCCCCGTCGAGACGCTCTGCTTTTGAGAATAATGGGCGTGACCGCCACGATCGTGACAGCACAATTTCAGCCTCAGACGTTGAAGAGGCATTGACTGATGAAGATGTGCCAGCTTCCCAGGCTAGCTCTCTCGCTACGAGCATGCTACGTCGATTTCCTGGTACTACGCAGGAAGAACCGTCCATTCCTGCAAATATTGGTAAATCGAGCACTCTGCTTCAAGCCAAACTATTTGGGCATGTGAAGAAGGTTGGCGTTGACCGTCCCAAGGACAACCTAAAGCGGAAGCGCAGCATTGAGGAAAAGGTTATATCTCCAAAGAAATTCCGCAGTGCAGACCCTGTCTACGTCAACATGGAATCTTGAGCGAGCCGCGAAGATGCCTTTCTTCCTCCTTCTTTGATGATTGATATGACTTGCCGTGTTATGCCACACTACGAACCCTAACGATGCTCCCAATTTCCTAGGCTCATGAGACGTTGATGAATTTCCTTGCTGTATCTCATTATTCCTCCGTTGCAACCGCTTCTTATTCTTACCTTGTTGTGTACAACTATTCCTGACTCCCGGCGATAGACCTGTCTTTGAAATTCTGCTTTCGCTTCGATCAAAACGTTCGTTTGTTGTTGGCACATAGTCTAGCCTAGGTAGCAATAATCCAATCTCCTAACAAAAAGAAACATCAAACTGAGAATCTTCTCCCGAAGCCCTGGATATAGATTAACTTGTAGGAATTTTGGTTGAGGAATGTGGTGGTGGATTACATAAGACATAGGGCTAGCTGGCCCGCTAAGCGAGACTGGCGGCTCGAGACAGACCACACCAAAAAAGTTCCCACCAAATAAACCCAAGCACTTTTTGAACGACGACCAGCAACACCACCCCGGGTTTCGACAACTTGATCACCGGCCGTCACAATGGTATGATTACATCTGCTCGTTCTTGTTGATTTGATGTGGACGGGCTTTTGGCAGCTGAACCACTGCGGTTGCGATGGATGGATTCAGGGCTAATATGTCACGTTGAATATAGGCGATCAAGCACAACCAGCAAATCCCTCGGAATCGTGAGTATTTCCTCGATCGACCGCCGTTGAAAAGACGACGTGTGAATTCATCCAGGGCGAAATCTTCTGACCTGTTGTGTGTGTTTCAGACTTCCACAAGGACTGGCAGCGTCGTGTTCGAGTGCACTTCGATCAGGTACGAAACGGAGTCCCCTTATTATGCCCCGAGAAGATGGAGACGCAGAGAGGAACAAGGCGAAAATTTGGGGATACCAGTCTCGTTTGGCAGCTGAATTGGGACTGATCTTGGTTTCGCATTTTTATAGCCTGGCCGCAAACACCGCCGTCGGGAAGCTCGCCTCGCAAAGGCTGCTGCGGTTGCTCCCCGTCCCGTCGATAAGCTTCGCCCAATTGTCAGATGTCCAACTGTTAAGTACAACAGCCGGGTCAGAGCTGGACGTGGTTTCACGATTCAAGAATTGAAGGTACAGTCTTTTCCCAAGACACATTGATATCCGAACGTTTTGGACACGCATTTGTACAATTGGCCTACAGAAACTTACCAACTGCTTTTACCTTGTTTGCAGGAAGCTGGTATCCCACGCAAGCTCGCCCCAACCATCGGCATCACCGTCGATCACCGCCGCATCAATGCTTGCTCAGAGTCCCTTTCCGCCAATGTCGCCCGTTTGAAGGAATACAGAGCCCGTTTGATCCTCTTCCCCCGCAAGAGCGGTCAATTCAAGAAGCTCGACTCATCTCCCGAGGACGTCAAGGCTGCTTCTGAGGGCCAGAACCTCGCCAAGAACATTGGTTCTTTACTTCCAGTCGCCAACATCAGCCGTGCCCAGGCCGTCACCGAGATTTCCAAGGCCGATATGCCAGAGGGTGAGAAGGCTGCTTACCGAAAACTCAGAGATGCGCGCAGCGAGGCTCGTTATGCTGGTGCGAGAGAGAAGAGGGCAAAGGCAAAGGCTGAAGAGGCGGCAGCGGCTAAGAAATAAGCGAAATTAAATTAAAAAAGCCTGCTGTAGTTTCTTTCCCTGCTCCCTTTGGTCTGGCAATTAGGAATGTTGTTACCCCTCACCTTTTTCTCTTTTACGTTGCTATGATAATCAGGTCGTCTCGTGGGAATCAATGGGGTTGGTTCTTGATGGCTTAAGGTGTGTTTACTCCCTGGGGGGTTTTTAAACGAAATGCAATGGGAGAGAAATACGAAAACGTACACCCTTTCATGTCCGTTGAGGATTGGGAAGCCTAGGGCGTGATTGCTGTTCGTACTACGCTTCCAACTAGCACTGCCAATGGAATGATATCATGACTCTGATTGAAAGGCTAGAATGGTAGCTGTTGCGTTTTAAACCCATAAGGGATACATTGCTCGAGTACGAAATCACAACCATGCAATTGCCAGATGCTACAATCTTCCACCGTAACCACGCCGTAAAAGGCTAATATCCCCATCGGGAGATACAAGAAACCACCGTACTATGTGCAAGGTTTGGTGCCATCAAGTAAAACAATAAATTATACAACCTATGGTATCTTATCCGCTAAACGAAAAGGGATCAACCTACACCAGCACTCCTCACTCTTGACCATAAAGAACCCGCACAACGGCTTCCACGGCTCTAACAATCTTACCACAGGCAATGTCAACATCAGCACCGCGGTGGTTAAGCATACTCCAAAACACGCGTCGCGCCTCGATTTCAACTTTCCCTTGGCCCGACCCGCGGGCTGACTGAGACGAAATGCAGATATCCGGTTCCAAAAACGGCTCACTGGTCCAGAGATCGATCTCAACAGGGCAAGATACCAGGATTTGATATTTCTCAGATTTATGGGTTGAAAACAAGAATGAAGAACGGTCGAGGTGTGGGATCAAAGCGCGAGGAGGGTGTTGCTCTGGTTCAATATCTTCATTGCTGCTGGTGTCCCCGGAATAACCCCCATCATTGACGATGGACTGTAGCTTTTCCAGGCGTATCCAGATCTTCGTGCGCGAGACACATGCTTCCCAGTACCGGCAAACACCCCATGATAATCCCGATACGTCCTGTCCAAGGAGCCGGTTTGAGAGCCGGGTGTCCATCCACCTTCGTAACTGGGTGGGAATGTTTGCAATATCCAGCGCTGTTGAGGACTTAGGGATAGAAATGGATAGAACCTTTTGCTGTTCTGGGTCGGTCTCAAGGGTGATTGGTACCTTGTAGATCGACGAAGGAAACCCGGGAGGAGGAGAGAGGGTCAAATGATGAATTTGAACAAGACGTGATGGAGATTGTGGCGAGTCCGAGGAAGACTGAGAAGTCGTTGTATTATGAGTGGATAGGGAAAGGGGCGCGAAAAGGGTAAGATACGGTAGAGGGTCAGGAGGTGGCTCGAGTGCAAACGGATTTTCTGGGGGCGGAGTTATAGGAGGTTCTGGTATTGGGTTGGGAATATGTTTAGGAGCGGAAAATGGGAGAAGATATGAAAGCACTGAGGATATCGGCACTGGTTGCGGTTTTGGGGGCGGAGGAGCACAGGACGGGTTGTCAGTAGTCAGTAAAAGCCTAGAGAAGATGTTAGAGAAGTCTATGAATGATATCGAGCATCTCAATGGGATCTTACAGCAAGCGTTTTATGAGATCTTCATCCATCGACTCGAAAGTATTGGGTTGCTCCAATCGCTGTCCACAATCCTCAAGAATAGCAACGTCGTTTTTAAGTCTTTCCAATTGCGCGGCAAGCTCATCACGAAGCTTCCGTTTCTCTCGCAGTTCTTTCGGTATAATCTCTTCCGGCTGTGGAATATTCGCTAACGGGCCTGAATCCTGATCTTCTCCTTGCGTCCTGTGGATATCTTGTTCAAGGTGACTTGGCCCTGCTTGCTGCTCCAACGTCCGTTTATTCCGTTCCTGCAACCGAAGACTGGGACTCCTGCTCGTAAGGGTCCTCGAGCGAATGGAGAGCTTCTGGACGCGTAGCTGTGTTGGGGTCGGAGGTAACTCTGGCTCTCCTTCGTCATCATCTTTATTCTGCGATTCACTCAAGCCGCCAGTTCCAGACGCCAACTTTACAGTAGCAGAGCTGCGTTGGGATGCAAATAGCGCTCTTCTGGCAGACCGTCTCACGGTGCCATTGTTTAATTTCGACGGCTGGGAACCCCAGGAGTCCTCTCCCTGTGTCTGGCGCCCACCCGCGGCGAGAGGAGGCTTGGTTCCAGCTTTGGACTTTGGCGGCGGGAGCGAGATATCTGGATTCAGGCTGCTCTGCGCTGCTCCAAGGGCAGTTTTCTTTTCATCCCCTTGCCGGTTGTGCAGTTCGAAACCGCGATTTTCAGACCGCAAGGCCCTTTCGGCTACCGACCGGCCTAGCACCCGCGATAGTAGTTCTGGTTGAGATCGCGCGACGCTCGCTTTCGTTGGCGACCGGAAGGATGACCGGCTTGTACGCTGGGGTTTCCCATCGCGACTGGAAGATGCGTGCTCAACGTTCGGGGCTTCGACGGGGATTGCCGCAGAGGAGTTTGATTTGCGCCGTTTGGCCGGTAACGGAATCATGCGTGCGACGCGTTGTATAGAGGATGGGATGGAACTGCGGCGCAACGGGATAAGATAAATAATAATGGCAGCTCCTCAACAAGACTCGAATTGCTCCTTTGACCATCTCGTCGGCCTCAACTTTGTGTTTTGACAACAAACGCGACCAGCCGGTGTTTGCACTGTTTGCATCGTCCTCCATCGTCATCGCAGACATTGATATATGTATCACACGAGCACTGCAAGTCCAGTTGCGTTCAGCCGACGGTGGAAATGGAGGGCCTATCCTTTGCTTGGAGAGGCCACTCCTTCAGGATTACCCTATGCACCTACTGCGCACGCCGAATACCCAGCTGCACCAGCAAACACACCCTCCTCCGAAATGCCTGCTCCATCCCACCGCCAAAACGCACTTTTCAATCAAGCACGCATCACTCCCTTGGCCAAGAATCCCAAGCACCGCAAGCCTATCCTTTGAAAGGATACTACTCGGACATCCTCTCACAGCCAACCCACATCTCAAGCCCCTCCCGCCCAGCCACCTCCATCTCCTCCCCGCCCCCTTCAGAACCTCGCGAGCCCACCCCCGCCGAAAAGATGAGCATCGTCTTCGGAACTCGCCTCGCTGGTCCGGGCTACACATCCCGCTACAACCCCTCCACGCCACCGGACTCAACCTGGCAGACCATCAACGGCGTGGCAGTCCCCCCGCGACCAATGGAGCCGGATAATTGCTGCATGAGCGGATGCGTGCACTGTGTGTGGGATGATTACCGGGACGACGTTGAGGAATGGGCGATGCGCGTACGGGAGGCGAAGCAGCGTCGACCTCGGGTGGAAGCTGCTGCTAAAGACAAGGGGGATATGAAGCATAAACCCCGACGGGAGGTCGCGAGCGCGAGTCTGAGTATGGGATGATGATGGGGGTGGGAGTGAGAGTAATTTGGGGATAGTGACTCGTTGTCAGCTACAGGGGACCTGTTTGAGGGAATACCCGTGGGAATCAGGGAATTTATGAGAACGGAAAAGCGATTGAAAGGAGAAGAAGAGGCTTCGGGAAGCGTCCTGACACGGGGTTTGGCACAACATTGAGTGTTTGCGCTCTGATGTTTGATCTCGGAGAATTAGAGCTTTTCAGTCGAATACCCGTTACCGCGTTTGACGGCTTTACGCATTGTATAGAATTTATGGATAACGTTCGTGTATATAGTAGACCTCTAGATATCGATCATAAAAACAATCATGAGCCAATGACAATATCCAAAAATCCAAAAGGGAAGCATCCTTTGCAGCTGCAAACATGGCCATAAATCGGGAATTTATCCAAAAATGAATTTTAAATGGTTGGAAGCTCGCTGGATTCAAATGAAATAAACGCCTAATTGCATGCACGAGATAGAATGAATAGAAAGCGTTTCCGAATAGCATAGATCTCATTGCAAATTGGAATGGCCAACGTCATGCATCAAATCTTCAAAAATTTCCCTCCGTGTTGAGGTTAAGGTCGAGGGCTATTGAAAAGTCAGTCAAGGCCATCAAACACTTAACATTGTGAATCATGAAGTGAACCTACATTATGTTGTAGTAACCCGTGCAACAAAATCAGGGTATTCTCCCTGTCCTTCGCCAACCTGACCCGTTCAGCTTTGTCGTGCGCGGATTCGCCCTCAGACGGTTCCGATGCTCTCCTCCGTACCGTTTCGCAGAGTATTTCCGTGATACTCATGCCTTGTAGGCAATCGCCTACGGCCTCACAGCTATTTTTATTGGAAGCCATTAGTGCGAGGGCAAACCACCCTTCGCTCCGAAGGACTGGCCATTCCGATTGAACAATCATCGCTTCGATTGGACGGGCTACGTCTTCGTGAAGATCAAACAGGCGCTTGGTAAGTTGCTGAGTGGTGTCTGCCGCTTCCGGCCCGGGGTTAAGACGAAGTAAAACGCGACAAATTGCAGCTATTGTTCGACCGATTTCCGTTCGTGTAGGCGGAGAGTCAGTTTTGGAGAAGAGTGAGAGCATATTAGAAAGATAGGTGCGTGAATGGGCGGGCGAGTCGGGGTCAGGGGATAGAGAGCCGAGTAAGCGAGATATATTAGCAACTGAGGACAGGACAACCTGCCTTGTAAGGCTCGCTGCCAGGAATTGTATTTGAGGAATAGTTTCGGCCGTCCATAGCTTGGATAATCGTTCGATGATACCAGCCTCTCCAAGATGCTCCTTGTTATTACCCGCAATCGTAAGATTCTTCAGGAATCCCAACACCGAATGCAAGACCGTACTTCTGGGATTGCTGTCAAGAATTGCTATCAACGGCAAATGGACTTTCAACTCCTGAATCATTGATTCGCAAATTGCATCCTCTCGCGCAAGATTTCCCAGCATAACGCAGGCGCAAATCTGCAGATGGTCTTTGGACGTTCTGAGCCAGGACATCAACGTCTTGGTAACTGCAGAGAACAGGTCATACGTTTTCGAATATATAGGTAATCCCGAAAGATCCGAAAGCGCGTGGTTAAGCTTCAGGCGGCTCATAGCTAAAGCTTGCTCATCTTCAGGAGACATTTCTCCGCGTTCCATCTCGTAAGAATCGAAAAGCACTGACAACACGAGCTCTACATGGCCGTGTAGGAGACATAGTATTTGGAATCGGTCATTTTGCAAATACGCCGCAAGGGAATTCACAATGGATATATAATGAGGCAGGGCAATATCTGAATTTGAGGCTATGGCGATGATCATTGATAGAGAGTCATCTGGAGCCTGAGCCAGCGATAGTCCTATATCTTGGTCAGACGGACATCCAGTTAAAACATAAAACAAAAAAATCAATGTATACCTTGTTTAGTCGCCATTTCAACAAGGTCGTACGTATAGCTCAATAGTGCATTCCCGTTTAATCGCCTGTTTGCGAGTAACCTGAGAAGGTGATATGCAATCCCGTTTGCTGCTATTTGTTTTTGTGCAGGTTCTACCGAAAACGGGTTAATAGAGTTCTTCAGGAAGTGAGCTGAGTATCTTACCAAAATCAACACAGATATTATAAACAACTGGGATGGCCACATGAACAAGCGCGGGGTTTCCGAGCAATCTGATAATCGATAAGGTATAATTTCTATCCACCACTTGCTGCCGGTTCTCATCTAGTTCATGATCAACATTCGACCGCTCAGTGCAAAAGCACCAAAACTTACCCGTATCAGCACAGGAGTTCCCGATCAACCTTAGAGCATGCAGCAAAATGTCACTGTCAACGCCGGGCGTTGAAATGACTCTAAGATAAAAATCCAAAATCCCGCTTTTGCCATAAAGCAATCGCCATTTCGCTGCCAGACAGGTCAACCCTCATTCACGCGCTGAATACTTCGCATATGCACTCACGATTTCGACTGCCATTTGCCAGTACTTCAGTCACACGTGCCATATAGCTCGATTGGGACCTCCATAGTTGATAGACTCGAGACTTGACGCCTTCCAGTACCTCTATATTTGGGCAGCCGTGAACCGCTTCTTTATCTGCCAGTTCGAGAGAAGCCATCAACTGCCCTAATTCGAGGTCGGCTTCGTTCTCTCCAGCATCCTCAAAGACAGCTCTCAATGCGCGAAACATCATCTCTTCTTCCTCTGGTGATATGCTTGGATGATCTCTTTCCGGTGCTGTCAATGGTTCAAGGGGCTGAGCTTTAGTAGTAGATGGGAGGACAACGGATTGGCTTTGATCTTGCTGTTGCAAGTCCACTTCTGATCGAGGCATATCCGAGTATTTAAGTTGGCCAGGAGGGCTGGTGGCCTCCAGGCCGAACTCGCGATCCTGATATGGCTGCGGAGAGGTCTCCATGATGTTGGAAAAATGCGCGTCGCTGCCTAGGCGAGATGCGATATACCAGTACGATAATGAAACCAGATATTCAACAGGGTCGACAGCCGCGACTCGATACCCAATCAAAGACAGATGTAGCCTTCAGGCCATGCGAAAATAAATCACACTTAGCGCTTGTCTGCTGGTGCCTGCGGGCTTCAAGGGGCTTGACCACAACCGATCTCTAGGCAGGCGGCGGCAGTTCCAGGGGTTGGTCAAGAGCTCTCACAACACCTGCAGCAGGCGGCTGATGTCTCAAGCTAGTGACCGTTCCGCCCCCAAAGCCAGGACGTTATCAAATCGCGCTTTACGGCCGTCATGCTCAACTTGTCGTCCCTGAAGATGCAGTCAAAAGTAACTAACTAGGGCTCCGAGCCTCACGTGCTGTGACTATTAACTAACTAACCAACCGCTTCTGCCTGGGCCCTGGCTTCAATGCATCCAACATCGTACGACTGTGCCATTGTGACTGCGGAGGACAGAAAGGGGAGTTGAGATGCAGCCATTTGAGTCAGATAGCCATGGCCAATGTAACTCATAACTAACTGCATCAACAGGGGATCAAAATGCATTAACACACTTGCCAGTCGAGACTCGCATTCACCAACACCGATGAAACGGTTCCTTATAAATAGAAACTCCTTGAGATACTTGCATCTTATCATCCAATCTTCCATTCCTTGGGCATTTTCCATCCTCTGCATCGCGTAGGCACTTGACCCAAAGTCGGACTGGACCTGAGCAAAACAGGCCTACGGAAATCGTGCTTCGGAACCCAGGACTCGGATTTCCCATAACCTAGGTTGGTCCTTAGAAGACCACCACTCTCCATTGTCGTCCAGCCGACTTGGTGTCCAAGAGATGCTCCTGCAGGCGTGCTAATAACCCTGATGATTCGCTGCTGACGAGACTCCGCTCCTCGAGGCACGGCGGGCGCAGGCCGAACCGAGCTGGATACGTAATATCGGCTTTTCGAGTTGGAGCGTGTCCTGCAGGGAAGCCAATCACAGGCCCTGCGCCCGCAATTGTCTCCCTCCCCAGCTGGGCAGAAGAGGCTGGTTTGGCGTCGAATTGAGTTGCTGTGATTTCGAGTTGCGAGACCGGCATTTCGGAAGTATCTCGAAACCACAACAGCCGAACGCCGTGGAGTGCGCTAGCCACGCCCAGTGCGGCCTTGGTGCTCGTGTTTGGTGAGCCGCGTCTGGCTGTCTGTCCATCTCGAACAGGCCAACGGGGGAGATGGGGCGGAAGATGGGGTAGCGCTCATGACCCCATAGTTTGCTGTGTCTGTTCTCGGGTATGTTCCGTGTGCGCAGTGCGCTATTCCGCTGGCGCTCAACGGCGTCGATGGATTCGACCGAGTGACTGGGCCATGCAGTGGCCAGGAAGACCAGCTGGGTCCTAGCCAGTGTGGAGGAGAATGGCCTGGTATATTAGAGGGGATCGCTACTTGGGCCGTTTTATTATTTCTTCCTCGCTCGTACCCTGACCCTCATCGCTTCGTTCAGCTCCTATTCTTGTTCACTTACTCAGATCATAGCATCTATCCCGATAATATTCCGAAATGGATGAAAACATGGACTTTGATCGCAGGACTCCCGAGACGGGTGCTTCTCAGAATGACAATGCGCAGAAGCGCACCGCATCCGATGCTGCCCTGGACGGCCAGGATATAAGATCGACAAGGAAGAGAGCGGCCAAAGCGTGTCAGTCCTGCAGGTCCCGCAAGGTTCGATGCAGTGTCTCGGACCACGGGGTGCCTTGCTATAACTGCAAACTGGATGAGCTAGAATGCATCATTCCAGAGCGCAAGAGGCCGACACGAACCGCAAAGAGAGAGTAAGGCTGCATACTGTCCCAACAAACAGCTTGACTGGCTAACCAGGTTTCATTAATAGGAAATCTCTAGGTTCGGTTATTTCCGAAGCCGTTTTACGGATGGATAATACGTCCTCGGAAACCAGCAGCTTTCAGTCGAACATGACCCGCAGGCCGTCGTCCACGAGCATTCATGGTGACTGGGAGAAGTCCTTTGCAGGCGGCTATGGCGTTGACACACCGTCTGCGGCAATGGATTCCCCGCCGCAAGATGTTGGCCTTGCTTCACACGAGCTCCGGAATCCTGAGTTCGACAAGGTGGATTTCACTGAGCTGCCGCCATGCGACGAAGAGCTTGCACGTTGGTTCGGCGTGATGCCCGCCCGTGTGGTGGATAAAATGTTTGAGTACCTGGCTCTACTCAGTCAATGCGGACAAGCAGCAACGTTGCCATCCAGATTGCGACAATCGAGGTCAAATTCCCACGACAAAGTCCGACTTATCCCACCCGGCAGCAACAAACGCAAAGCCCTCAGCCCAGAGATCCAAGATCGGCTCCGCTGTCACATCACACCGCAACCAAACCAATACACCAATGCCCCATTCCCCCTAGAGCCACTCTCTCCGCAATCCCCAACCGAAGAAACATGTCCATCATCGGCTACCCATGACTCGCAGAGGAACATGGCCCTTCTCAACCAACTACGCGACAGTCACGCAGCGGCCAGCCGCACCATCAGCACCCTCGAAGCCACCATCCGCAAAGTCGACGCCCAGCTCGCCAGCCGTCGCGATCCCCGCTACAATCCCTCCAACTGCCGTTTCCCGTCGACAGGCGCATTTCCGCACTCCGTGGCGAGCGCAAAGAAGACCACCCCGCCGACGCTGACTCCTCCACCGGAAAATAACCAGGATGCATATGAGATGAGCATACAGACGCTTCAGCAGCTGGAGAAGTTGTTTGCACCTCCAACGCAGGGCCAGCACGATGAGGGTGCTGGGAAACAGGATGGGGCAGCAGAGGTTCTAGACGGTGGTCTAGGGGCAAGAGATGAGGATTTTCAGGACACGTTCGAGTCGCTGATTGATTTTGGGACTGACGATGCTTTGTTCCAAATTGCATGACTGTATTATTATTGATAAGATACCTACCTTTTAGTTAATGATGGCAATCCTTTTCAGTATCAGTGATATTCTGTACACTCAATCGACGACTTTTCTCCCTGCACCCCAAAACCTCCACGCCATGATGCCCGCGTGCCCAATCTCTTTCCAGTTTCTTGCTTCTGGAACCTCGCCCGATCTCCACT